TGTTCTCCAAGTATCTTATGGAGTAAAGCAAACAATCGAGCAAGGTAAACAGTAGAGATGTGCGAATCAAGAATTTTTATGTCGAATCGAATCGAATCGAATCTCATTTTTTTAATTCGAATTCGAATCGAATCGAATCTACGAAATTTCATTCGAATTCGAATCGAGTCGAATCATTAAAAAATTTAACATGACTATTAAACATGCACATAATGATGGAAGATTTTAATATGAAAGGGGATATTGATATCGTAAATAATATCATCTTACAGTAAAATATATATTTAAATATTTAAAGTAATTTATAATTAAGTTATTAATTATAAGTTGAGTTAATTACAAGTTAAGAGTTCAAATGTACAGGCCCAGATGGCTCGTTTTGTACCTGATGCATGTAAACATAATGCACGTTAATATATTTTATTCGTAATTGAATCTTCGATTCGAAATTTTCGAATTATTCGGATTCGAATCGAATCGAATTACATTAGATTCGATTCGATTCGATGAACGCGCCGATGGCAGCCTATCGCTTCTGGGAGAAGAGGAACTTTCGATTTTACGCTGCTGTAAGTTAACATGCGAAACGTTTGTCGGATATACAAAGAATTATCGTAAAAAGTAAAGAAAGATAACAAAAAATCATAAAAAGAGAAAAAGGAAAATTTCCTTCTGAAGTATATTGCGTTCCAATGTGAACGCACAGAACGAAGAGAAACGAAACAAAGAAGTTAATTAATCCATCACCTGCTGTTTTTGAGAAAAGAAAAATTCTTCGCGAATTCCGCCCCCCCCCCCTCCTCATCCTCACACACGTGTACCGCTGAACATTTTCGAACGGTGCGATCGCGCCGACGAACAATCTTGTGCGGGAAATTGTCACTATTCAACCGCCGAGTAATGAATAATCAATTATCGTTTATCCTAGATTTAATCCGAGACCTTTAGAGATAGACGGCGGATTGCTATTTAATTAAAATTCTTCACATTATGGCGTTGGCCTTCTATAAAAATGGATTGAGCAGCGACAGCTCACCTCCGCTGTCCTTCGATATGTCTTAATGTATTTTAATTGAGAAACGCTAGAGGCGGTGAAAAAGAAAGTGCCGAGGCCTGCTATAAGCGATAATAAAACTCGCGGGGATATATTGTTAAGCCACTTGCCTATCCAATCGGGGAATAGAAACGTCGTCAATTAAGCCAAATACGCAAGCGCTAATTAATTGCGAAACGATTAGCGCGGTTAATCCAGCCGCGGTGTGCGTTAAATATATGTTCCCCCCGGTTGCGTAAGTATTTTTACCTTGCGAACTTGTGTAAACGTCACGTAATACCGCCGAGGTACTTAACAGAGTGTGAGCGAAGGAGTACCGAGAGAAAAATGCGACACGGGAAACCTATCGGTGTGCTACTTGAAAGTCGCGCGCTTAAATTTATTATCATATTAATTAGCCGCGCGAGCGAGCGTATGGTCGTCACACCAGCGTATTTCTCACATTCCTCGGTCTCTGAATTTTTATTATTTACTATGTACATATTTTGTAACTTAACGGGAGAATGGCTCGAGATAAGATCCCCCTGTTGGATTTTTGGATTGACGATAATGTCTCTTGACGAACGCGTGCTCGCTAGCCGCGCAATTGTTCGGGAAAGGACAATGCTCGAGTGACATCTCGTTACAACGAGTATTGTTGGCAAATGTTATCGTTTCAAAAAGGGACGGTGCGATCGAAAGTTGTTGAAATGTTGCGTTATATTGTATTATATTATACCGCATTACATTGTATTATACTAGGTGCGCAACTAAGTTTCCGGGCTTCACACGTGGATGGCGCTGACGACACATGTAGTCGACATACATGCCTGAAGTTGTGTGTTTTTTTATAGCTTGGACATCTGTTAACAATAACCAGTCGTAATACCAACGCATATCGCAACGCAAAAATATGTTTTCTAACAACGAAGATGTCGAGTTTTGTGGCAAATAAACAGCATTTGCGGGAAGCTTTGCTTTTCTGCTTCAACTTGAAAAAAAGTGCAGCTGAAGCACGTCGTTCGCTTGAGGAGGCCTACGGCGAACATGCACCATCGAAAACGACTTGTGAAGATTGGTTTAAACGCTTCAGAAGTGGCGATTTCGACACTGAGGACAAGAAGCGCTCCGGAAGACCAAAAACAAGCCGGAGGATGCCGATCTGCAAGCGTTATTGGATGAAGATGATACGCAAACACAAGATCAACTTGCGGAGCGGCATTAAATATGACTCGCCAAGGTATTTCCAAACGTTTACATGCCATGGGAAAAAAGGAAGAAAAATGGGTGCCGCATGAGTTGACTGAGAGACAGATGGAAAATCGAAGAGCCACTTCCGAAATTTTGCTTTTGCGGCATGAAAGAAAGAGTTTCCTGCATCGAATTGTTACTGACGATGAGAAGTGGATACATTTCGAGAATCCTAAACGCAAAAAATCGTGGCTTTCACCTGGCGAAGCATCAACATCGACGGCACAGCCAAATAGCTTCGGAAAGAAGACAATGCTCTGAGTTTGGTGGGACCAGAAAGGAATCGTGTACTATGAGCTGCTGAAAAGAGGCCGGGCGAAACTGTCAATGGACATCGCTACCGACAACAACTGATCAATTTGAACCATACATTGCTCGAAAAACGGCCAGAATGGGACACGAGACACGAACGAGTGATATTGCAGCACGATAACGCTCCGTGCCATCGCACTTCCATCGTCCAGGACACCATCAAAACGCTGAAATGGGATCTGTTACTGCACCCGCCGTATTCGCCAGACCTGGCCCCTTCCGATTATTACTTGTTCCGGTCGATGGCCAAGCCATGGCTTGACTGGACAATACTTGGCCAATTTCGAAGAAGTGCAAAATTGGTTGGATGAATGGTTTCGGTCCAAAGACGCGTCGTTTTATCGTCGCGGTATTCATGTATTGCCAGAGTGATGGCAAAAATGTGTAGCTAGCGAGGGACGATACTTTGAATAAAGCATCTTTTGTATTTCTCTTGAAATTTTCCATTTTTCATTGATCAAAAAAACCCGGAGACTTAGTTGCGCACCTAGTATGTAGCAATTATAATACGTCAGATTTTTGAGAAAACTGAACGCAATATCGAGATATACTCTACTTTAAATTCCCTTGAATGCAGTTTTCTCAAGTAGTATAACTCAGTAACAAATCGGACAAATTAAACATTTTTTATTTGCGTTTCTCAATAATTTAGATTGACACTCTTGTTGAAACGTACTACGTAAATGAAAACTCTGTTCTAGTTCTAGATAAATTTTAACATCTAAAAAACGGACTTATTGGGATAAATAAAAACTGATAGCATTATAGATAAGTTTTAGCCATATGATATAAATGTGTAGACGTTTAATGTGTAATAAAGTATTAAATGTACAAAATATATTTACTTCGGTGTTTTCTAAATGTATATATACAAATCTGCGATAAAGTATTTATATATTTCTGCGTAATTGTGAAACTACATTTTTGCGGTTATTACATGTACTAATACCATGTAACATTTATTTATAAAAGGTTATGCAACAAATTGGAAATTTTTTTCTTACCTTATCGATGACGCTAACCTCTACGAGACTAGTTGAGGCTAATTAGTTGCTAATGATTTCTTCTTCTTTGAAAACGCGTGTCATTTAGCCTCCCATGACATCTAACGATGTAAAGGAAAGACACGTTGCACCCTTACGGGTTTAAATCTCGACTAGAAGGTGCTCTTACTTGACAGCATCAAGTATCAAACGCCGTCAAAAGGTACGAACGTAACAGAGTGTAACAAAGTGTATCTGACGTGCAAAGTTGCATTCGATAGTATTCGTTGAATTACGGAAGATGGCACCACCTCCAAATTCTTCCCACCATCGCAAGTTTTCCAAAGAGATCGCTTTTTATTATCAAAATAATTAATTATAAAGCATTAATTTTAAAGCTTTTCCAGTGGATGGAAAAGTGCAGAAGTGGTGTTTTATTTGTCTCGACAAGTATTATCGAATGCAATTGTAGAAGTTCATAGAAAACGCCTGGTTTAGATTTTGCAAAATTTTATGAAGTCTACAAAATTTTGAATTCTTTTTGTCCCGTCGAGACAAGAAAAATGACACCGCTCCCGAATTTTTCCAACCGGAAATACTTAAACATCCCCTTGAGTGATATAATTCAATAATCCAAAACCCAATAATTCAAATGAATTAAATTTTGATTTTCAAATAATACGACTCAGAGTAGGTTGATTATATTATTTATAAATATATATCGTAGAAAATTTCATGCATATCTATCTACAGTTTAAAATAATTAAAAATATTAAATAAAAGTCAAACAATATTATAAAGACTATATAGCATGACAATCATATTGGAGTACAAACCAAGTTTCAAAGTACGAAGTTTATTAAATCAAAATAATTATTCTTATTAAACCGAGAAAAACAGAGAAGAAGAAAGGGAGAGAGAAAGAGAGAGAATTAATTCTTTCTTTTAAAATTCTTTTAAAAAAATTAGATTTAGTTTTCACATACGTATGTATCGCTCGGCCATTCCAGACTTTCTAAATAAATATTTCAAATTCTAAGACAAATCTCGCACATGAATCTACTTTTAATATTGATTTATTTCATTAAAACCTGCATGTACACAATTAACTCTGTTTTGCGTGAAAAATTAAGACTGTTTTAACTCTAAATTAAATTATATTTAAACTCTTTTGCATGAAGAATTAAAAGTCTGCTCTTTCTGAATTAAATTATATTTAAAACCTTCTTTGAGTGAAAAATTAAAAGTCTGTTCTTTCTGAGAATTGAATTATATTTCAAAATTATACTTTATATAATAAAATTTAGAAATATGTGAGTATTCATATAGAGAGAGCTTCAAAACGATTTAAGCGAAATACAAATATCAAAATGTAAATAAAACGGACAAAAATTGAATACACACACACATATATTGCGTATTACACGTTCTTTATTAAAAAAAAAAAATTACGTTCGACAAATCTACATTATACTCTTCTTCATAGTATATATATACAAAGTATTCCAAACAGTTTATACAATTTCCAGAGATTGCGCGTATATATATTTCTCACAAGATCATTAATTCGCGCATACTATAAAATATAGTAACTGTCACATTAGCACCTTTATTTCTTTACGTAGTCAATCGGATCAGATAAATCGTAACTGTCCTTTTTTTAAATGATCTTAGAGCAGAGAGTGCTTGGTCGTCCCGGTTTTCGACTTCTTTGCACCTGTTTATTCAGTAATTCGTGTAAAATTTATCGCAATAAGACTTCCACCGAACAGCACAACTTTTTGCATTTCCAAATTCAACTTGGCAATTTTTGTGATTCCTCAACAGAGCTTCTGCCGATCAATAAGTTCCCTCGTATCATAGAATTTCAAGAGGGAACGTGTTCCAGTGCTTCCGACGTATATTCGACATATAAGAAAAAAGAACAATGTGACATTCTCCCACGGCAGTAATCATAAATTCGACCCGAGTAAACATGAAGTAACAATAACGCTACATCAATCTTATCAATCAACTCCCCGTTCAATGTAAGCGCGACATAACAGATGCTGCGTATAATACTCCCATTGTTGAGTGACAGCCGATGTAACATTACTGTCACTCAACGTGTGTTCACTGAGAAATTATCTGCATGGTCAGCTATTACCGGAACCCACCGGAATAGCGTCTCTACTGAACAAACGGACGTAGCGATCGCACATTCCGAGGTAAGATTTTCCGAAGGAAATCCGCAGAGAGACACGTTCGTAGAAATCACTTGGCGATTTGATCCCTTCACGGAGCGGCAAGCTCACGCAGTACTCGCGTCAAGGAGCGGGCACCCAATGCGGCCACGTCTTCAGGATGCTGTACAAAGCATCTCCGGGACTCAAAGTCTTGGAGATTTGCCGGTGGCCCAAGAGTTTGTAATCAGGCGCGATCTTGCCGGCCTTGACGCCGAGCTCGATGATCTTCTGCGCGGCGTGCAGCTGCACCTTCGGCGGTATGACCGAGTTGAATGTACCGATGAAGGAGATGCCGATGCTGCGGTTGTTGAAACCGAACGAATGAGCGCCGACGTAGTCCCAGCTTCTGCCGACATAAGCGAGGCCGTCACCGCCTACGAGGAAGTTGTAGCCGATATCCGACCACTTCCGCGACTCGATGTGGAAGGTCTGCGCGAATCTCACGTGGAATGTGCACTCGGACTGCGTGGTGCAGAAATCCGTGGCGGTATGACTGATGATCACGTAGGGCACCGGCAGCTTCAGCCTCGTCAACGGCTGCGAAGGCGGCTGGGCGCCCCACTCGTTTCTCTCAACAAAGCGCACCGACGTCACCTCAACACCTGATGACCAAGAAGAAGAAGAAGTGTTACATGAAAGAGGGAAAGAAGGAAACAAAAAGTCATTGTGAGAGATTGTATCGCGTCGGTGGAATGTAATTGCAATGGTTATGATCCTTTTCAATAAATCATTCAATAAATCAAATTAATTGTTAGTTACAATTTCGTATCATTATAAAATTATAATTGATATAATTATGTAACATCGTTAGAGTATGATAGTTGTGGTTGCAATTATAATTGTAGTTTTCCAATAAATTAAATGACCAAATTACCAGTTACATAATCTTATGATATAATTATACAAGGAAGTATAGTTATAGAATTACAGTTATGACTCATGATTACAGAATAAAGTATTAATAAGTTATTAATAACGTCATTATTTGCCGAAACTCTAGCCGACTTTCGTGATTCCCCTGCCGATTAATAAAAAACTCCCCTCATATCGTTTCCATTCGTTATCATAGAATTCCGATAAACAATATCGCCCCAGTAACGCGTCAGCTAACAGTAATGTTGCAGCAATGTTATAACTTTCCATTCAGTGATGTAACTGTTACACGCAGCACGACATATTGCACTCACATCGTTGTGAATGGAAAATTACGACATTATTGTAATAACGACATATTAATGTAATCTTATTTTTTATTTATTTTTTAGATGGCATTACTAAGCGTTTAAACCGCGTTTAAGCCGTGACCAGTCAGATAACATAATTCTAAAATCCATACACATTGAGAAAGGACACTAAAAATTCACTAATCTCATTAAGATTATTATAGTCACTTCCAGCGGTAAGCATGTTTGTTCTTGATGTGAAGAAAATAACAGCAGCGATACGGATGCAAAATGATTATTACAAGCACAGTAGCGCTTGCTATATAATTACTAAATGATCGCTAAATGCAATTCGCTAAAGCATTTATTATATGATTTTCTTGACCATATAATTACATTATCCATGCAATTACAGTCGCAGACAACAAATGTCGTTTGCTCGGTGTACAATGGAAACAAATATTGATCTCACTAATTATAGTCATTTTGGGTGCCGACCAACGTCGTTAAAATTATAATCGTAAATTGTAGTTACAAATACCAGACATTTTTTTTTTTTTTCAATGAACATGTTGCAAACTGAGAAAGGCAATTTCGATTAGATTAGAATTTGACGAACTGACTAACTCCGATCTCGGTTCACTTCGTTTCGGCTAAACAAGTTCCAATCTTCGAAATTCGCAAATTTCAATCTTGCACACGCAGTGTTTGCTCTTATGTGCACAAAATTATGTAGATGACCATCCTGATAAAAATCTGGCCCCAATTTATCTTTATCTAGATAATATAAACACATATTATCTTCATATGCAACTTAAGAAAAAAATGATTTTGACAAAACTATTTAAGATGACGTTCACAGACAATTTAATCCATGTTGCTGCGAGTGTATAAAATATTGAATTGAATATCTTTTCTACGTCCTAGATATTTGCGTTAACAATGCATGTGTCAGACGGCATTGAGACTGAAATTGCATTGGGACTAATCTACAATCAAGATAAATTGCTGAAAGAAACTCACATATTTCATCTCTAATTTTTATCTAGCTAATTCTTAAATCATCTAAGCATAGCACTGCCACCACCTAATCTGACATGGGCTCGAATACAATTGCTCGAAGAATCGTCGACGTCAACACGCGTCACGACGCACCCTGTCACGCACCTGGCTGTGTCCGTCGACGTCAGAGAAGCTCTCGGCCCCGAAATGCGAACGCACATAATTTCCCACGTTGTTTCCCACGCGTGTGAATAATTAATTGTAATTGTAAATTAATTAAAAAACATGAGACAGAGAGAGAGAGAGAGAGAGAGAGAGAGAGAGAGAGAGAGAGAGAGAGAGAGAGAGAGAGAGAGACAGAGAGAAAGAGAGAGACAGAGAGAGAGAGAGAGAGAGAGAGAGAGAGAGAGAGAGAGAGAGAGAGAGAGAGAGAGAGAGAGAGAGAGAGAAGCAGGCGATAGATGACGCGGACAGTGCGGCTTCGACCGCGTCTACCCGCCACCTGCATGCGTATGTCTGTCTGTCTGTCTGTCTGTCTGTCTGTCTGTCTCTCACATTCCTTCCGCCGTAGCGGAGGAGAATTTTCCAAGCGGAATAATTACCCACGAGCGATGAGTCCGGAATCTCCGGGAAAACCGGTGCGGCCGGTGCGTCCGCGCGACGAGTGAGATACAGAGAGCACACCACCACAGCAGTCACTAGTATTAAGGCTAGAGTGCACAACAAAGCCGCGCACCTCCACGTCCACAGCCATTGTGTCACTGGAACAATGACAAAAGCCACGTTAAAGACAATCAGTCGGGGTGCTGACGAGCTAATGTCGCGTGGAAGCGGCAGCAGTTGACGGCGAGATTTATACGCGAGATTTATACGCGTTAATAAGCGATGTATTATAATTGAGATTAATCTCCTCCTTCATCTCCTCCTCCTCCCCCTCCTCCTCCGGTGAGGCACCCGGAGTCATCCCGATGGTTATGTTCCCGGTGGAGTTTATGGGTCTTGCGATTCCGAGCTGAAATTTCACGCACCTCGAGGTGCTTGTGTAATCAATGCTGTTGTTGTGTCGATCTTGTAAGATAGATGAGTTGGTTATTTTGGAAGTAAGTCTTCTTGATTCAGTGGCAATATTATTGGAACATAGCTATCTATCGTATATTGCCTTCGTAACTCGAGTATTTTAGTTTCAATGATGTTCTCAGACAGCACAAATTTCCAAAAGACCTCTTGAGGTCTTGGTCTGAAAAACATGTAGAGAATGCGTCTCAAAAACGTTTCTAAGACGCTTTTTGGAAATTTATGCCGTCTAAGAATATTATTGAAACTAGTATTCGAATTGTTGGAAAACAGTGTATGATGTATCAGTTTTAATAACGTTACTGTTGAATCAAAAGGATTCGCTCCAATTGTGAGACTGTTGACCGATTCTGTTGATATTTTCCTCTATAGTAGTAGTCCTCTATAGTATAGTAAGTATTGTTCTTCGTCTTGTTGTTTTCATGTGTGTGCACACCCCGAAAATCGCATATGCCTCAACACGTAATCATTCAAGAAATTTTCTGGAATTTCCAACGATACGCTCTTTTCAAAAGCACGCTCGTCAAAAATTTTACGTTCACATTTTTGTGAAACACCGTAGAGAGGATCATTTAATCGGCCGAAATTCTGGTTGTTATTTGTTGCATAATACCCTACAATCGCACGCTAAGAACAGCAGTGTAAAGCTCTTAAATAAATAACAATATTTTTTATTAATTAATAGAACGATTATTAGAAGGGATAGGAAGAAGTAAGTAAATAAGAATTTGCCGTTCCCTGGTGCTTCTAATCCTTAATTACAACGTTAAGACACATGTCTCAATTATAACGTTAAAACACGGTCTGGTGTACATAAATGATGAAAAGGTTACGGCACTTTCGACTTTGATGAATTTCAAAATTATAGAGTAAAGATTACTTGACTGCGATTGTTATCCACTCCACGAGACGTCGAAAAGAAACGTACTCTGCAGTTCATCATCTCATATCATGCCGCGTCAGGGGAAGTACTTCTTCTTCGACAGTCCCCACCTACTGCGCATTTTCTCTTCGCTTCCTTTTCTAGCGATCCGAAATCCGATCGCTAGAGAAGGAAGCGCAGAGAAAGTACGGAGTAGATAGAAACCGCCGGAGGAGAAATACTTTCTCTGACGCGGCACGATATGATGCATCCCAGTGTACATGTGCCTTGAGATAAAAGTTACTCTTATCGAATATTTAGCCACTTGCGAAATTTTTACACACAACATCCATCATTCTCCATGAAATGATATGTAAAACAGAAGAAATCGCGAGCGAAGAAACTGCTGTTGCTTCGAAGTCGCAGGCTTCGCTTAAGCTGGATACGGCATGACCGCTAGTTTACGCCGAAAACATTTGCAAACATCGAGCTATGCACATCGAGGGGGAAACTTTCCTGCACTGATATGCGATAAGGAAAGTCTCTGAAGCGCGTTTACCGCGAAGAGAAAAGTGAAACCGACAGTGTGGACGGACGAGAAATTAGAAAACCCGTTTATTTGTTTGCCCCTCGATGTTCGATCGATCGCACTTTTTGGAATAAGATTACTATTTTGTGGTAATCTCATTTGAAAATAATCCGCGACAAAGTTTTACATATGGATCTCGTCTAAATATGTAATCATATTTAATTATGTCCTGTTTAATTATGTCATGTTTAATTATGTCATGTTTAATTATTTAGTTATGTGTTATATATGTCCACAGAAAAATATTATTATTCAAATACTATTGAAGTGAAAACTTATGTTATAGGACGCCATAATGTCGACGTTCTATTGAATGAAATTATCTCTTCCTGTTTTATTCAACATTTCTTTCTACGTGAACATATATGTACGTGTGTTTACTTATTTACATATAATTATATATGTGATTATTTACATATAATTATATATGTGATTATTTACATATAATTATATATGTGATAATATATAATTATTGTTTCTCGAAAAGATATATAAAAGTATCTTATATGAGTTTCATAAATTAGTATACACATATACACACACACACGCGCGCGCGCGCGCGCACACACGCACACAATTACGCCACGCGTGTTTAATATTCCTCGTTTCTTCTCAGAATATGACGGAATATTCGATAAGAACGACTTTCGACTCGGATCATCGATCATTTTCCGCGCATAAAAGCATACTGTATATTTCAACATGATTATGACTAGATCAAAAGTCGAAGCAACAAAGATTTGTTTCATCGCAATTTCGAAACTTGCGATTCGACCATGCAACTCGGCGATCTATTTGATGTTTCGCGTCGCAAAGATGTCCTCAAAAAGCAATTTCCAGCGAAATAATCAAACAGTCACATCAATCTTGCGGGCAAATCGTCGCCGTTTTCCGCGAACTCTTATCGGGATCGCCGAATAATCAGTAATGGGAACGACGCATATATCGATTTTCACATTCTGAATGTTCACCATTAGACTAATGATCATCTCAAATGGAATTAGAGACGTCTTGAGATCGTATTAGCCGACATTTAAAACAATTGGATCGCAATGAATGTCGAAACAATGATAAAACGGAAAAGATGCGCGACTCTCCACGTGATCTTTCCTCGAGTCTATCATAACTTAACTGACGAAACTGCGTCGATTACGTGTTAGTTGAGGCGCAATTACGCGAAATAAAAATGAGTGTTCGCGAATGACAAACTGCATGTGTCAAATTTAAATTACGGAAGCGTTACGTGATTCCGAAACGAAGATAAAGGCATTCTGTCAAAAACGTGAATATTTATAGGTTCTCGAGTAAAGATCGAAATAAGGATCAACATGGACGGAAGAGAGAGAGAGAGAGAGTAAGAGCCTAATCGTGAATGTTTTGACGGGACGTTTTAAATCATCTGCGAGAGAATAAAATTCTTTAGCGGCGAATTTAGAAGATTTTATATATTATAGTATTTTATAGTATTTTACAATTAACTTACCATCTTTCACTGATAAATCGAATCTTTTTCTTGAAAAATGTGACCTTTAATTGTCAAACCCTGCCTCTCTTTTATCCTTGTGCAATTGCAATTAATTTTTAGTTTAACTCAACATCGTTTGATTGTTCAAGATGCAAAAGCGTCTAAAAGAAGAAGATACAAGATTCTCTAATAATTCTCCAATAATTGATCCTTTTCTACGAAAATGCTATTTTTAATTATCAAATCCTTCCCTCGCTTTCATTTTTATGAAACGCAATTAATTCTTATCTTGATTTAACATCCTTTGATTTTTCAAGACGTGTTCCGTTTAAGAAAACGAACATCGAAAACACATCTTACCGCGAGACGACGTCGCAAAATAAATCGAAATACTTCAAATTTAGATAAAAAAAATTAAAGGAATGATATTGAAACTATAATTAGAATATAATCGTCTAGATGAGTTCTCATTATTGTTGTCTTACGGTAATGTTTCTCAATACAGAACAAGCATACTAAAGATTTCAATTTTATCTTATCAGATTCACTCTCTCCTCTTATTGCAAGAGTCTTTAATTGGAAAATATAATATTTATCGATGCACACATGGTGCTCCGCGTGCGCGACAATGACGCGACATTCTCTAGAAGAACGGATGATATTATACCGTCAAACATTTTCGTATTAAATTTGCCGGCGATTTTGTAAGAAGATTGCTCATCGCGCGGCTGTTGTGTCGATATCGTGGTCATTAATTCCATGGAAAAAAACCATGCCAAGCAATTCTAGATCCGCGTCGAGCTGTGAAAATTGCAAATATTGTAACTAGAGTTATTTGTATAATTTTCAACTTTTCATGTAATACATAAGGTTGCAAATCGCAAGACAATTTTTTGTTATAAAAGTCTAAATAAATTATACATTCGTAGTAATAATAAATAAACGTTTAGACACAAAATTTCTGATGTACACATAATAAATTTTATACGGCAAGATTGAAGGCATATTCGGATAAGCAACTAGTTATCTGCCATGACATATAAATTGGCTTCAATAAAAATATGGATATGTTAAGACGTGCATATAGGAGAACAAAATTTGAAGAAAAAAAAAAAAATATATATATATATATAACATATATTCATATTTGTATTTTTTTAATTTTATCAAAATATGAATATATTTCGCGCGATGTAGCATGATAAATTATCGATACTTGAGGCAATTATTTATCAAAAGTTTGCCGATATTACTCACTAAATGTCTGGCGCGTTACTCATCGATCATTTCCTCCGTCTGCTAAAGTCAAAAGAGATGCGCAAAAGCGAACGAGATGCTGATCAAGGATCAAGAGGAAGAGAACAGCCAAATAAACACACACAAATACACAACTCAAATGATTAGTTGCGAAACGTACCTTTGTCCAACTCGCTGTTCTGCTGAAGAATCGGCCTGTTGGCGCCCACGTCGACCTTACTCGACAAGTCCGATACATTAGCGTCAGAGGCTTGGCTGCCGGCTTCGAGCTTGTTCGCATCCTGCACCGAAGCGGGACTCGTGTAAACGAACTGCTTTATGGTGACCGGACCCTTGTAGAAGGTCTTGTTACCCAGATGTACGTTCGTTGAGTTCTTGACGCACACGTCACCGAAGTTGGACGGGTCGGCGTTCGGCAAGACGACGTCGCCGTTCGCGGTCGCGACTTCCTGGTGCTGCTGAACGATGGCAGCCGGTACTGGAAGATTAGCAACCCAGCCACCACCTCCGCGTCCGTTTCCTCCACGACCATCCTCCACGTCCGTTTCCTCCTCGTCCTCATCCTCGTCATCCTCCACGTCGTCATCGTCTATGTCACTGCACTGCGTAGAGGAACCTCCAACACTGTCATTGCCCGGGACGACGAGCGCAATCTCATTCGCCCTGCGCGCGACCTCCGCCTCCTCCTCTTCCTGCTCCTTCTCGCCGTGGAAGTCGCCGACGACCGCGTGACTTTCGGCAACCACTACGGCGCCGTCTGCGCGCTCCTGTTCCTCTTTTTGGCACTGGTGGCTGTCGTCCGGCGTCTGCTGCTGTTGTACCAATGTCACCATGCCCGTGCACTATGTGGGAAAGAGAGAAAGAAAGAGAGGAAAGACACGCGGGTCACCTTACCAATCGGACAGCTCGTCCTCGAGACAAGCGCCAGGTGGTACATGAATGTGCGCGTATGTACACGTCACGTGCCAGCCGCAACTGGGTGAAGTTGTTGAGAAACGAAGACTGTGAGGTTTCTCTTTCGTCCCGGATGACCTCGTCAAAGCGACATTTTCACCTTTGTCCAGCAGGTTGCAGCTCCCGCGGATGAGACGCGGCGAAAGCAAACGCGGTAGCCAATCAACTAGCCGCTCTTACGGAAAAGCAGCGAATTTATTGGCCACTCTGTCGCTCCTTGCCACATGGCAGGCAAGCCTTGCCGTGTCTTGTCTGCGGAAGCTGCAGGAAATTTACGCGTCAGGCTAGATTCCGTCTAAATAGTGGCAGGCAGGACACCTTCAAGCGGATGATTTTTTTGTTTTTAATATAATAGAGATGATTAAGATGTGGTGGAATCCAAAAGCGATGGAGAATGTTTCGACGGAGAATTGACGGGGGTCTGCCTGCCGCCGTTTAAACGGATATGTGAATCCAGCTTTACACGGAGGAGATTTTTGTTCAATGATACACGTGCTATAAAGAGCGATTATAGTGGCTCTTAATGGAAACCTACTAATTACACAGTGCTATTTCTGATAAAAAGTCAAATCAAAAGGTGCTGAATCATTTTCTTCCTAGAATGCTTGATAATTATTCCTTTAGGAGGCGTGGCAGAAGAAACGATTTAGGATTTCCCTCAGAGTTAATTTGTAACTAGACACGAAGCTGTGTATAATTAGTGGGTGCTGAATAAAAAATATTCTGTATATACGTACATTATAATATTTTTGTATCTACAGTAAATATATCCTCACGTATTCTCACTGAATCCAGAATTTATATATCACGACGATTAATAAGTGATTTACTCGAATATCTTTTTAATTTCATGCTACGAAGATTAATTTTTCATGTTTTCCTATAACGTTTCAAATAATTAATATAAACAATGAATATATTCCAAGCGGATAAAGTAGCCACTTTTCTATTCAGGAATGTTAATTTCTATCAGATGAATGCTCTCCATATAAACATCTAAATATTTTTTTCCTCCTCGAGCAAGACGTAGCTCATAACATCGAGATTGCAAAATGACGTGTATATAAAATAGTGATCTCCAAAGTAAAAAAAAAAAAGAACGCGGAATTTACGACGCTTAGTCAGTGGAAATGTCGATCGCGCTGATTAATTTAATAACACGTTCGATTTGGTGAAGTAGCTCGATTCAGCGGGAGTTTCACGATCGTATCATCATGATTCTCAGTGGACTGTAAGCTCTTGCGAGATATGAAAAAAACGAAGTGTGAGTTGAATCACGGACGTTGGTGAAAATCCGTCATTAGTAACCGCTCATCAGTGAAGTCATCGAGGAATACGACAGCTCGTTTCTAATCAACTCCACCGGACGTACGCTTCTGCGTTTGATCCTTGTTTCGCGCAACAATAGCATATTTAAACCGGAAAACGGCATATAACATATCAAATTATCGCGCGCGCGCATGATATTTAATTAGTAAAGTAGAACAGCAAAAATGTCAATCTAAATGTCTGGGTATCTCGGAGCTTTACATTTACTCACGCTTCTACTTGGTAATTAATAAATATAATTAAATCATTGAAACAAATACATGTATCATCGTGTAAACAACAAAAATATTCAGTCATACAATCGATGGAGAAGGAGATAATTAAAGTAAATAAATAAATAGAGAATTTACATTTAGACGATTATTTAACAATGATAAAACAACAATTGAAATCAAAAGTGAATAACAGAAAAGATCAACAATCGTATTGATTAATAATCACGGTGCTGATGCAACTATTTGTTTTCTCTTTTCCGCTTTCAGAAGAAGGAAACAAGACTCGACAAGAAGCGCCATGATCGCCCGCGTAAGCGCGCGTTAATTAATTCGCGCAGCTTCTCCGTCATGAGGCATCGACAGATAGAAGCCAGTCGTCAATAGAGAGAAAGGAAGACGCGCGCGCGCGCGATGTAAATAACGACGATAAGCCGCGAGCAAATATGTTTTGAGATTGAGAATCAAATTCGATTAATCGTAAGAGCCGCTCGTTACTGACGTAACACTCCGACGACACCCTCGAGCTTGTTACTCGCATTGCTGGAATACTCGATTTTCGCGCGGCGACGAAACAAGGTGTACACCACCGGTGCACTCGTGCGCGTCGACGCGCACGTGACGCGCGCGTCCTCGGGCACGTCGTGCGAGTCACTCTCACGGACGGTTTTCGAGGCGCGCGTTAATGGCCGCCCGAGGTCGATATAACGACGACAACGAGCGCCCGTGCATTTTCGCGATAAACAGCCCGACGGAACAATCCCAGTTACGATAATAAAAATCACATTTCACGGAAATGACAATTAACGCTCGTTCCGCTCGGAGAGTGCGAATCCATCGAAAAGACCTCCCGCCGCGCGTGTCTCCCCGCGTTCGATGCATTTCGAATTGACCGTCGCGGAGAAAATGCATTATATAAGTTCCCGGCGAGGAGACCGCGTTTCGTAATTTCGCGATTTCGTTGTCGCGTACGGGACATGCCGGTACTTATTGCAATCGGCGGCCACGTGCTCCTCCTCGTCGCCGCCTCTTTGCCGCGGTGTTTACCGTAAAAACGATAATAGACGGGAAATAATAATAATAACAAATAAGAATAGCAATAATAAATAATAATAAAATATAAAATAAAATAATAAAGTAAGAAATATTAAGTACACGCATAAGGAAGAATATAGAGAGATATAAAAGAATGACAGCGAAAGAGAGAGAGAGAGAGAGACTCGAAGGAACCAACATGGGAATTTACGTCAATCGGACATTCCGTATTAAGGTATGCGTCACGAGACGTAGACAAAAGCGAAACACCACGCGAGTGCCTCACCGTCGCTCGGCGGAGTACGAAATTCGCGTGCTGCGGCTCGTCTCCTCGGTAAACCAGTTACGCTTGCCAATTATTCCGGACGACGTCTCATACAAACGTGTATAATTTACTTGCAGGCACCGTGCGTCGCAACGTCGCGCTCATTCGCCATGGCCGTCCGCCATATTTCGTGTGGCCGCGCCGCGCGGAGGTTATTTTCCGCAGCAGCGAACAGCATCTTCGATCGGAGCTGATCGCTCACGTCGCACGTGGCAAATGTCCGATCAATCTCGTGTTTTAATCGACGTTCGAGAGAAATTATCCACACCACTTCGACCTCGACGGACAACTCGCCGCATTATCATTCTGATCAATCGCGCGTCCATCGTGGAGATGTTCTAACGCGAATAAACCGAAGGCATCTCTCTGTCATACATTTCCCCTCTCCCCCTCTATCTTTTTCTTTCTCTTTTTCCTTTTTTCCTATTTTTATGCTTCGTATTTTTTTTATCTATTCTCTCTCTCTCTCTCTCTCTCTCTCTCTCTCTCTCTCTCTCTCTCTCTCTCTCTCTGTCTAAAATCTCTTCTATCTTTATCTTTCTATATCTTGCATGTTTTATTTTCTTGGAATGTATCTCATGCAATTGGAGGATCAGCCGAGAGCGCTTAATAAATATTTTCATTTATCTGTCTCTTCCTCTCTTTCTCCCTCTTTGCAACGCGATCGCCGCGCGCAGAAACCTGAACCGGGATTATTCCTCGCTGTACGCAGGCGGGCGCACGCGAACGTCACGTTTCGCTCATTACTCATAGATCGGGATTGTTATCGCGTGCGAATCGATCTCGGCGAGAAATCGCGGCGACGGCGGTGCATGCCAGACGGCGCGAACCGCTAAAATACACCTTCAGCGCCTCGAAGACGTCGAAAAAGAAGCGGCTCTCCTTTAGAAGTCCGAAGCGAATCTTTCCGCACTTTTTGCAAATTCCCGAGCAAAAAAGCCGACGAGGAGCAAGCAAAGAGCTCGGAGTCGACGACGAGAGGAGCGCGCGCCGCCCGGGAACGTCCGGGACATCCGGTCGCCGTGGGCGATCGATCCACCTAGACGAGACGAAGATCACGATGACGCCGAAATCAATCTCTCTTCTCATCACTCGGACGTCATCGAGACTCATGTTACGCCCAGGGACCGATCGCTGGCGTATCTTCGCAAAAGCAAGGATCGGCTGACTCACGTCTGAGATTACCTCGCGCGAATCATCGCTCGCGCCGGTCACTTCGTCAACGCCGTGCCCATGAGCCCCGAGCTACGACGACATGGCGCTACGTCCACGAGGAAAACGACGTCGTGCGGCTGGCGACGTTGGTGATGCCGATGGTGCTGGCGATGGCGACGAAGGATGTGACGCAGAAAGTAGAAGTCATTCACACGCCCGCGTGTGCGTGTGTGTGTGTGTGTATACAATACATGCGCTACACACTACCGAGACCCTTCCTCGAAGGGATGTCTCCGGAGGACCGACCGAAAACCACCTGTTGTCCTCGGGGATGAAAAATGCGCGATCTCCCTCGGCGGGAATACTGCGGCGACGACGACGACGGCGACGACGACGACGCGGACACGCGCGACCTCGGCCGCAGCCGCTATCGGTTATCTTCCGCCGATCCTACGACACTGGCGACAGATACCGCCGTTGTCGGCGGTGACGCCACGTCGATGTCGAAGGACGACGCGCCGCTGGAGGTGGAATCGTGGAAGCGCGCCGCGAAGCGTCGACTCGACCTCTTCTCTTGGCTCGTTCGCGCTCGGGAGAGAGAGAGAGAGAGAGAGAGAGAGAGAGAGAGAGAGAAAGAGAAAGAGCGACGGAGGAGAAGAGGGAAAGGAGATAAAGCGGGACGAGGAAAAGAACGCACGAGAGGCAGAAGAATCCGCGCGACGTCACGCACTCGCTGCGCTACGCGCGTAATTTGCTTCTTCTAGTTGCGCCGGCACTCTTCCTGTTCTCTTTCCTCCGATGAGAGGCCCGGCTGTGTACCACTCTCTCCTCAAGTTCGCCAGGTGCAAACTGGTCGAGCGAAAAGAAGCGGACATACGGCGACATGAATTCGCAATGCGAAATACCGCGCCGATCCTCGGCGTGCGTCGCGCGCGCCACCACGCGTCGCGTTACGGCGAATCACGACGGGAACGCGAGGTGCTTTCTGCCGTTCGCGAGTATTTTTCCGCCTCGCGACGCGACGTGCCAGCGGCGGATCCGCTGCGCTCGCGCGACGGCAAATGTCGACACTCCGGCGAGGACGCGGCGCTCGGTGACGATTGCCGACGAATTCAAAACGCAAGGCGCGACGATTACGGCTTCGTCGGCGCTGTTCGATCCCGAGTGACTGCGGTCGCGACGTTGAACGCGCTCGGAAGTCGCGCCGCGGTCCCACTCTCGTCGTCTTTTCCTCTCCTTCTCTTGCTTCCTCCCGCTGTCGGCTCCTCTCTTCGGCACTCGTCACTGCGAGAGGAGCCGCCTGCAACAACGCGGCGTTTCCCGCATTCTTTTCGCGGTCGTGTGATCTGCCCCCCCCCGCCGCCACCGCCGTTCTCTTTCTTCGAATGATTGGGCGTTTCTCTCCGCCGGCAGTGGCGCAAGATATTTTCCAGATACTCTTCTTGTGCGGTCTTCTCGCAACGGTCCTCCGCGCTTGCCGCGTGGGACGTTTCGTTACGGCGAAAATTGCGAAGCGCGCGAGTCGCGGAAGAAACCGAAATGAGCTCGGGATACGGGAGAACACGCACTACCGGGGAGAACTCGATTGAGATGCGCATCTCGATCGCTCGATTACGTCTCGATTACCTCGAACGAGTCCTCCGACTTTTCTCCGACTGTGAATTTTCAACGTGAGGCTTGCACCGGCGTCGATTAACGCGCAAATGAATAAAAGCTGATTAAGCGCGCCCGTTGCTCGTGGTGACGCAATATCGTGAAAAATATACATGCATAAATGATAAGTGCACGAATATACACACACATAAGGGATGATAACTTTCCCCAACTTCAATCGCTGTCTTCCTCTGCGCTAGCGTGCTTGTTTACGATAGAAGCTCATATTGTGTGCTCTCATATCGTGAGCAGTGATAGCATATTATGTTGTTGCATTAATGTGCATTATGTTCGTCTGATGGTTGTTAATTTCAGTTACGCAAAATTATACACTGAAAAACAAAAAGAGAGAGAGAGACAGAGAGAGAGAGAGAGAGATTCAAAAGCGTAGATTAAATTTTTCCTCGCGCGAGATCGTTTCCAGGGGAAAATCGATCTTCTGAAATCTAGAAAATTAATGATAACACCTTCTTGTCTCTCGCAAAAGCTCCAAATGGGCTTCGTGTACGTCATCGTTGGGAAATTTTGCGAAACTCGCAACAGATAAACAGATTTATTCTACACTTTCTTTGTTCTCATGCATAATAGGAGAAGTCGTTGGCCTAGTTGCACGAAAATCGCGGTCACATCATTGTATAGCATTTTTAATGTACATGTATACATATATCTTTAATAACCTTTCGGATGTATCGCTCTGAGGCTACATTAATGTCGTCGTCGTCGTCGTCGTCATCGTGGACTCGATTCAAACTCGGAATAGCAGACAAAGATAAATTTCTGCTCGACGCACGCACACACATAGATACACACACAACAAACACACACACATATATATGTATACACGTATACACGTAATGTATGCATAAAGAATATCGCCGTTGAGTAAGCTTGTTTTGATTTGCCTTTAATTAATACTTATTTGCATCTCGCTATTGTGTTGTCCCTCACGCACGCACACATTTGCATACATATGCAATCGCGACAAAGGGCGTCCACATCCGTGTGGTGACACGTTTAGATCAATAGACGTTTTCCTCATTTCTCTCGCGTTTTGTTCCTCATTAGAAAGTATTCGTATATGGTCACACGTCGGTGTACACAAAACGCACGACCGAGATCCTCTTGTCCCTCGCGTGCGCATGCAGTAACTTTCCGGGAATCCTTAATTAAGAATACCTGGAGAGCACTTAAAGTCATTTCTCGGAACATGCATCTCGGCAGGCGCAGACGGCCGTGTCGGCTTGGCAGCCGCGAGGAAGATAAAGACTATAAAACAAATCAGAAGCATTGAACAACAATAAAGGATGATGCGCGAGAAAGAGCATCCCTTTGTCCCGGAACACCCTGTATAGCACGTGAGAGATACTCTAATCGCTAAACTGAAATATCAATATTAGACCTCTTGACGTTGATTAAATTACGTCTCCGCGATCAGTCACATCTGGTTATCTTTTCTCTCTCTCTCTCTCTCTCTCTCTCTCTCTCTCTCTCTCTCTCTCTCTCTCTCTCTCTCTCTCTCTCTCTCTCTCTCAATCGAGCAATACCGATGCCGATATTGAAATCGGCCTGTGATTGTGCGGCCTGTGATGAACGAGCATCCTCAAGCTCAAGATGGCGACCGTGTGACTCCAAGGACGAAAATATAATGAGTGGAAAGTTTCATACTTTTATAATTGAAAGTTACACGACCGCCGAAATTGTTGATTGGTCGTGTGGAACTTTTCACTCTTTCGCGCTTTTACGCTCGTATAGAAAAGCTACGAGTTCGTTGTCCAGCATGTTGTCGAACAGTGATTTTTCTTGGCTATGAAAAAGCTTCATATTTTTATAGTTCAAAATGTTAAGCAATCATCAAATTGAGTTCATTGAATTCATTGAGTTCGAAACTTTTCACCTTGCATGTTTCCGCCCCTAAAAATTACATAATTGTTATTCAGAATGACGATCCAGATATAATCTTTCCCTAAATGCAGAAACATGAATCTTCATATGAAACTAGTCAAGGCGACGATCATACAATTTTCCTCCAAAAGACAGAAACCTCCAAAGAAAAGAAACAGAGACATGGAAAGTTTAATTAATAAATTAAAACTTTAAACTAGTTAAAAAAAATTACACGTTCATCAAAATCATAAAATTCACATCAAACTTTTTCTTTTCACGTTTCCGCTTCTAAAAAAAGAAAAAGAATTACATGATCGTTACTGAAAATAGAGAGATCATGTAATATTTTTTTTAAATATGAGATGAAGAACGAAAAGTTGAACTTGGAAAATTCCACATTTTCATACTTTAAAAAGCTACACGATCGCTAAAATCGTCAAGTTTGATCACGTGAAACATTTCTGAGAACTTTCAGTTGCCAGAAAAAAAAGTTGCACGATGATCCTTGCTTTGAATCATTTAATATGCCCGCAAGAGCCGAAATGTGAGAAGTTTCATATATGAACTCGCATATTTCATATGCGAAGTTTCATATGAAAATTTACATTCCTGCTCGAAGCAAAAACGGCTGAATTACTTCTCTCAGATTCACAGACGCGAGAAAGCAATTCTCTCCTAATATCGCCAGAAATGTTCGTCCCGAGTTTCGTAGAATATTAAATTCTACCGTGTATTTGATTTCGCATTTGGAATAGTTCTCTCTCGACGCGAATGCATCATCGGAGAGTGATGATAGCCTTCGTAAGATCACGCTGATAACCGCCCGGCGGCTTATCTTAATTGCATCGTTCCACATATTGTTATTATTATCAGAGATTGAGGAGTGACATCCGAAAGTAAAGATGGGACTGTAACTCGACTCGCGCGAGGATAAACAACCGCCGTAAGAATTATAAACGGTGTTTTAAAACGCTGGCTCGCGGTATTCTATTCGACTAATCCGTCAACGTCGAGAGAGGCTAATTAAACAAAACGAGCTAATAAATATACGAGACTAATTAATTGGAGCGATTAAAAGTTAGTATGAAATTTAATATCATACGCAGATGCGCACACTCACTCACTCACTCACACACGTTATCGTCGCATGGTGTACATTTGTCAATAAGTATAAAAAAAAGATCTTCCAGCACGGAACGTATATAATTACAAACAACTCGCCAAACACAAACATTCATAAATATTATCGTTAGACCGCGTGTGTGCTAGTAATCGCAGCGTCACCGACATCGCGACATTGTTGCTCAAACCTAAAACGTACGTTACACCTCGATGTGTTGCTACGTTATCCCTACGTCGAATAGCGGTCTACAAGCGAATTGCAACTTCATTCTCAAAAAGACGCAAAAACTACGAGAGCGAGCTACCGCTACGCGCTACGTTACAGCAACAATGTAAACTTAAAACTACGAATACGTGAATCGGTCAACGAAAGTTACCGCTAACAGATACCGATTAACAAAGCACGAGAAGAGGGAGTCGCGGTGCGCGCACCAGTCGGCGCCGCTGTCTCTCCGCCGCACTTCGCTCGAACGGTATCAATAAAATTTAATTAATTTATCGTTTGGCGGCTTCCTAAAGGAAACAAATAAATGCAGTGTCGAATTATGGTTAAAGCGTAGTTTAACAGTATTCTCACTTAGGGAAACAACGTGGAAATATATATTTCGAATATACGTACTAAATACTAGAAGCGTGCGCCATTAAATCATTGTCGTCGTGTTTATGAAGACAATAGTCAAAAGAAAAAAAAAAATATATATATATTGATAAAAAGTCGTTAAAATCAAAACATATATATATATTTTTATATAATATATATTATATATATCACACATATATATAATATATATTTTACATGTGTGTGTATATATATATATTTAATAATTAATGAAAATTAAAATATCAAATATATATAATTATATATTATAATTTTAACACTATTTTATCGCATGTCAAATAACGCAAACACTTTCGAAGCTACCTCGAATCTGGACTTGCCAAAATACAACCTCCGCGATGTCAGCCATTCGCAGTACTAAGTAGATGATGTAGCGTACTGCAACAAATGCGTGTGACAAGTGTCTGTGATGTGCCGGTATGCGAGACGCTTGCTACATTTTCACGTGTAAACCTCCTCTAGATACACGAAGTAATTTCAACGCGCGCATCACACGACTCTCCGCCAAATCACAAGTAACAAGAGGAGGGAAAATTTCTGCACTCCTTCGTGTATTTCAATATACCCGCCGTCGGCGACTCTCATCTCTTTTTCCGTTAAGATCCGCTAAATCCAGCAGTGTAATGTTAACTTTAATATAATATGCATCACTCTATCAGCAACATCGCAATAATTTACGTCTGAACAACTCGCGCAGTACACAGTTAACTTTATCGTTATAATAGTTGTTACAATAGGTAAGTAGGTTGTAGCCTTGTCTTTTTCTTATTTCCTCAACTTTTGCCGCTGCTACTGAGAGCGGCCCGCCGTCGCCGCGGAACGAGCACTACGCGTTGCGTACAAACGCAACTGTAGCAACGTTCGGTACCTGTGGTGTGGTCACTTTTCGACCGGATTTTGCCCCAGCAAAAGCGTTGACATTGATATATTCACATCTAATTTCTCGTTATATAATGTGACATTATGTAATAATATTGTACGCAAAATTCTTATTGATTTGACGCAAACTTTGTCTGAATATGAGCTCCCTTGGTCCGACGATTCTACCATGTTGACAAGTTGGTAACATCTTCGCGGAGTCTCTTTCTACGTTAGACGCTGTCATCTAGTGAACAGGACACGTTTGAAATCTTTCTCGCGAACAAACGAAATAAATGTGGTCATAATCAATGATGTACTCACCGTGATACCACCATTTTGTCTTTTTTGGATTTTTGTTACAAGTTTTTACATAAAACATATTGTCCGGTGGCCTCTTCTGCAAGAATAGAAATTATCTCATACACGAGTTATACACGATAGCTGAAGTGACGCTTCATTACATATGTATTAAACGACAAAACAATTACCTTCTCTTTACAACTGCTAAGCATGGAGACGATGCTCAGGCAGACACTCTGCACACTGAGAGCAGGAGACCAGTCCTCTGTTAGTATGGATAAACAAATGTGGCCATTGCTGTAGACGTGCGGATGTACGGGGATGTTCCCACCTATGAATGTCACTTCCGGTGAGTCAAAGGGATATTTGGAACTGAATTTGAACTGCAGCTGAAACTGTTCTCCCTCATACAGTGTGCCCTTAGCACCTTCCATATGGACAATCCATTGTGTCAGATTCTGCTCAGCTGATTGTCCATCTACGTATACCCCAGGTGGTGGTTCACGTATCAAGGACATTAATTCTTTCTGGAGCCTCCGCTGAAACATCGAATCAAGGAAATCATTTGATACAAATTCCATAGCCTTCATATGCTTTGTGTCTATTAGGTTAAATAATCTAAATTATACAAGAATTATCAATCATGAGAAAATAAAAGACAAAATAGACAAAACGATAACACAACAACTCTAAATATAAACAATCAATAAAAATATCACATAAAAATATCAAGTTGCTTCTTTCTAACAAAATAAACTAAAATATTTAAAAGATATTAAAAATAATGAAATTCAACAACAAATAGCTCAAATCTAAAACCAAATTATTCCATCTCATGAAAATCTCAAGTATTAATAAAAAGATTAAATAACATCAATCAATAAAAAGATTAAATGAAAAGGCCCATATAAATTAACAAGAACTTGTTGAATAATCCATGTAAGAAAATATTTAATAATTATTTCAATGCAATGTGATCATTTTTTAAAATATATATTTTGATACATCTGGATCTCTGAATCTTCCTCAATGAATTCTAAATAAACAACAAAAGCAAAACTTCAACAATTATTGCCTCTCTATACCTCAAATATATAAACATGTGCAATGTATAAATATATCATAATTATACATCAAAAGTCCCAAAATCAAATCAATGGAAAGGTTAAATGAGGAAGTAGGCTAAAATGCAAACCAACAGGAACTTGTTGTATGAGAATCAATTAAGAGGATGTTTAATAGTCATTCTAATATAATAACTCAATAAACATCAAGTAACAATACCTTTGTATCAATGTTACAACTCCCCACTCAATAATGCAACTGCTCCACACATAATATGTATTATGAACAATTTACCTTTTTGAATAATAAAATCATAAATAATCATAATCAATCATCATATCATAATCATCAAATAAAAAATCATAACATTGTTGCAATACTACTCTCACTTGAAGAGAGTTTACCAAGAAGTATAACGGCCAATCTTCCAAGAACATTTGTGTGTGTGTGAAAATCTAACATTTTATATCTTGGATATCGCAATTTGAGCTTCTTCAATGAATACAAAACAAGTAGTCAAGGCGACAACTTCAACAATTATACTCTCCACATACTTCAAGCGCATATATCCATGTATAAGTAAACATAATTATACGCTGATAGCACGAAACGAGCTCTATCTTGAGACTCAACCCGCGAACAAATACGACCGACGATGACTCGAGAGAGAGAGAGAGAGAGAGAGAGAGAGAGACAGAGAAAGAGAGAGAGAGACAGAGAAAGAGAGAGAGAGAGACACAGAGAAAGAGAGAGAGACATGGAGAAAGAGAGAGAGACACATAGAGAAAGAGAGAGAGAGAGAGAGAGACACAGAGAAAGAGAGAGAGAGAGAGAGAGAGAGAGAGAGAGAGAGAGAGAGAGAGAGAGAGAGAGAGAGAGAGAGAGAGAGGAAGAGGCGCATACGCGTCACGTTTCGATTCACGAGGGCCATGCATTTTATATCGCGCCGTAACGACCGTCCGTCCGTCCCGAAATCTCTCCCTCAAATCCACATCGTGGACGCGCGATCCCCTTCGCGCGATCACACCACGAGCACCCGCGGCGTCTCGCGACTCATCACGCCGTATCCAGTCGGGATACATACAGAAATCCGCGGAAAAAATACCGCCTCTCCGCAGACCGACACGTACCTTCGACGGGGACATTGCCGCCATTGTCGTTAAACCGCTCTCCATCGGGAAACATAACCGCAGCTCATCGCGGCGCGAGCGTTCGTTTATTTCACCGGAGAACGCATCCGCCTCGCACGAAGGCGTCTCACATTTCTCTACTTGCGGCTCCGTCGTGCGTGAACAGTGTGCACGTCCGCGATCGGAAAGCGGGAAAGTTTGAAGGCGACGAGACGAGACGACGGCTAAGGATAATCCCACACGGCCAGCACAGAATTTGACAGCGTTGACAGCCGCGTTCGTGTAGCGCGATTAACGCAAGAAGTTGCTGGCAGCGGAGGGGATGGTGGGAAGGGAAGAACGCCCGCAAAGCGCACAATCGTCGTACACACATATACATGCCGTATATGCACGCGTGCACACACACGCAACATAAAGGCTTGTTCTTCTCAGCTGAATTATAGTACAGCACTGAACGTTCTTATTCTTTTTCTCTTGACGCTACATCGTCTCCTTGTCTCACTCTAAACGGCAAAAAGTGCAGTCCACTAGAGCTGAAAAGAACAGGACAAAGGCCTGGGAACCGATCATCGAATCTTCTCTTTCAGCGTGAACCTGTGGAAGATAAACGTCAGACGCTTTCGAGTTACGAAAATTTCAATTTTACAGCTGGATTAGAACTACACTGCTACTTCGTTCCTTTTCTCTTCGACGCTACGTCTCACTCTAACGGCAAAAAGTGCAGTCTACTAGAGCTAAAAAGAGCAGGACAAAGACCTGGGAACTGATCATCGAATCTCCTCTTTCAGCGTGAACCTGTGGAAGATGAACGTCAGATGTCTTCGAGTTACGAAAATTTCAATTTTACAGCTGGATTAGAACTACACTGCAACTTCGTTCCTTTTCTCTTCGACGCTACGTCATCTGCTTGTCTCATTCTAACGGCAAAATATGCAACTTGAAGGAGCTAAAAAAAACACGCAAGGAGAGAAACGATCAAAAATTCTATTTTACAATCAGTTGTGTAAAATCGATTAGAAATCGTGTAATTGGTTGTGTTCAACAAAGAATGCTGCTTTGCAGCTGTTGCACAATTCGTTGGCCCGATTGGTGCATGCACTCAATCTCGGCCGAATTAAAAAACATACACAAATTGGATGCGCGAATTTTACGCGTATTCTCATAGATTTTTTTTATCAGACATCATATTAAATATTTACTAGGCAAAGATACAAATGTTCGTGTTACCTTCGGTGTAGCTGAAACAGTCGATATTGTCATGACTCTTGAATTACCTCTAGGCCACTCGGGGTCCGTTTGCCAACACACAAAAATGTTTGCTAATGAAAATTTACGCTAAATTTATTTACGAAAATGCTGACAGTCTTTGGCATTCGTTGATGTTGACACTTTCTGACATCTTTTTCCCATCACTCCGTATCTGTTACCATTTATACTTATTTCGTGCTACAGCTTCATATTTCAGCCACGATATTCCCAAAAGGGTGTTGGCGCTCAGAGATTTCTCTGGCATCCTAAGGCCCCTTGCACAATGCCAGGCAACAAACAATAAGAATAAAAATAGACCAATCACAATCGAGTACAAGAATAATCTATTGTGATTGGTCTATTTTTATTCTTATTGCCTGTTGCCTTGCATTGTGCAAAGAGCTTAATACCCGTATATACATAGTCAGGCCTTATATTTGAGGCCTCCTTATATCCATCTTTAGATGCTGCACGGATTATTTTATTGACTACAGACCATCTGAAGATAAACTTAAGGAAGCCTTAAATATAAGGCCTGACTATGAATATGGGTGTAAAGCCCCTTGCACAATGCCAGGCAATAGGCAATAAGAATAAAAATAGACCAATCACAATAGATTATTCTTTTAATAGTCGATTGTGATTGGTCTATTTTTATTCTTATTGCTTGTTGCCTGGCATTGTGCAAGGGGCCTTAGGCTCGTATTCATAGTCAGATCTTATATTTAAAATCGTCTTAAGGTTTATCTTCAGGTACCATATGCGGATCATTTCATTGGCTGCGGAGAATCTGTAAATGAACTTGAGATCAAACTATTAATACAGGCTTAAATCCCGTAAGATCAACGATCTTTATTAGTGCTCGTCAGTGATGCAGCAGCAGAGAGAAGAATGAGAGCGGCCACCGGCCGTATTTCGGGGGATACGGCTAGGCGCATTTTAGATGCGCCATCTGACCAAAATGCGCCTAAACTACGTCCGCTAGGCGCACTTTCGCGGTGATAAAAGTAAAATGCGCCTAGGTTCGTGTCCGTACTACTTCCATGCAATGGATAGTAGATTAGAAAAAGACAGACGACAGGCAATCGTTCCGTCTTTGTCTCACTACTGAGCGGCGCGCGGCAGTAAACACGAGGCGAGGTAAAGGCGATCTTATCGCTAAGCGAACATCTCTCCGCTTTTCTTTCATCTTCCACGCTCGAGAGACATCAAAAGACGCGGTAGTGTCTCGTGTCAAGGGAACATGCGAAGCGAGGAATTATTTTTCACGCACGCGAGGTAGCACATTGGAGACTAGACAAGCGTCGACATATTATCTGTTTCTTTCCCGCTCGTCTAGCTTATTGACTGCGTGAGCCGCGAGATTTTTCTCGCTACTCCTATACCTCGCTCTTTCTCTCTCTCTCTCTCGCTCGTTCTTTCTCTCTCTCGCGCACTTGCTCGCTCTTCCTCTCTTCTCGTGTTCTTACGGCTTGATTAAATATATTAATTACATGACAATATATATATATAAATAAATGACACATATATAATGTATATGTATATAAAGAATATTTAGTATTAATGCACAAATAAAGAAGAGAGAATTATAATGAGAGACGAAAAGTTAATAGAAATCCACTCTTAGCCAATATATACATCTTTTAAAAATGATTTGTTATTAAAGTATATGACAGAATAATTTATTTATGCTAATAAATTTAAATTAAAAATTAAATGAAATGTTATTTATTTTGTAAAAGATATTCCATTGTTACATTTTTCTTTTCGTAGCAAAAATAAATTTAGTCTAGTAAAAGAAGAAATTAGTTTTATTATCATATTTCAATTATTATTATTTATTTTTATTTAATTTTACTTTATTATTTAATTTTACGAATAGATAACGTGCATATTGTTGCTCAACGGAAACCGCGAGAAAATGGTGATCTCCGTCAAAAAATAAATGCAAACTTTTTAATAATATAATAATTTTTTTACGTAAGTGTTTGTTTTTATAGTATAACCTGTTGAATTTTATTAATTATTAATTCAGCATGTTATAGTATAAAAAATATATTTTAATATAAAAATTAATGTAATATTAATTGTTTGCATTTGCAAGAAATATGGATAGAACAGGATAGGTTGCAATGATACATAGGAAGAAAAAAGATAGATGGATAAATAGATAGATAGATAGATAGATAGATATAGAGATAGATATAGATGGATAAATAGATAGACAGATAGATGGATAGATAGATAAATAGATAGATGGATAGATAGATATAGAGAAATAGATAGATAGATAGTTAGATAGTATAGAAAAAAAGATAAATAGAAATATAATTATCATTATTATTATTATTAATGTTTTCAGTTTCAAGAGAACATTCGCTTAAACGTAAGTCTTACTTAGGTCCAGTTACGAGTGTTAACACTCGTAAACGTTGCATATTAAATAATAATCATTCATTGTTAATCTCTTTTCTGCTTCGCATTTATTTTGTCTGTCGTCTGTCTTTTTCTAATCTACTATCCATTGCATGGAAGTAGTACGGACACGAACCTAGGCGCATTTTACTTTTATCACCGTGAAAGTGCGCCTAGCGGACGTAGTTTAGGCGCATTTTGGTCAGATGGCGTATCTAAAATGCGCCTAGCCGTATCCTCCGAAATACGGCCGGTGGCCGCTCTCATTCTTCTCTCTGGCAGCAGCCTTTCGTTCTTTCGATCTAGGGAATGGTGGGGCGTGCACGACCGTCAAGTGTACGCAAAGTCCGCGGCTCTCGCAGTTTGGCGACCCTGGCTTGCGATCGACGTTGTGTGCCGTGTCGCGTTGACGCGAGGTGTTGCAATCAGCTGCGGATCGCGTGGGTGCGTGATCGCAATCACGATCGCGAGAATCGATCTCTCATCTTCTTCTGCCTTTCTCCTCTCCGCGAGACCTCAGCTCAGCCGCTCGCAGTCGCGAGAATCGCCGTCGATACACTTCCTCGCGCGCGTACGCTTCGCGAACTTCTCCTGCGGGCAACTCGACCGTTGCGATATCGAACAACGATATTCGCGCGTAACATTGGCATAGGGGCACGACGACTCGTTACAGCAACGAAGACGACGACGACGACAACGGCGACGACGACGACGACGACGACGACGAACAACAAGGGGAATAACGAGCGGAGGATGCACCGTCGCCGCCGTTAATCAACGAGAAGGCCGTGCAGGTCGATGAGGACGACGAGACGCAGCAACGGACAACGTCAGCTACATCAGTATGCAGGCGAACGACGAGACCTACGATAAGAACCCTGCCGCGGAGAACATCCGCGTCTCGTTCGCCGAGGATGACGACGACGTGGACCGCGCGTCCACCTCCGGCGAGAAGTCATCCGACGAGCCACCCCCGTCCACCACCACCGCCAGCGACGATGACTACGGCTGCGAGCATTACAAACGGAAGTCCAAGTTCGTGGTAAGGCTTACGGAGCGCGAGAGCGTTTCATCTCGTCGATGCCTCGCCGACGATTCTTGGTACGACGCGTTGGTAGGCCGCTTTCCGCCCGCGATTTTCTCATCTCTGCACTCCTGCTGCGAATTTTAATCGTTGGCGGGAGAAGTCTCTCAGTAGAGCGAGAGAGAGAGAGAGAGAGAGACTTCATCTCTTCGGGATCAAAGACTGCGGCGCTTGCAAACTGCCTCGCGGTTCCTTGTGTGTGCCTCGCGGATACCCAAGTTGACCCATGTACCGTATATTTTATTCCAATTGTAATTTCTCACTCTGTACAGTGCGAGTGCAGTGTAACACGTGTTGAGCGTGTGAACGTTGTTGCGTAGGAGATTATGATGTTTAATGTAATATTATATTGCCAGTCTACTGAGACTACAGTAACTGTTAAAATACATAGCATTATGACAATATAACAACGGTGACATAACATTGTATAATAATGATGCAATATCAACAACATACTAATAGCTACATGATAGTATCACGAAAATAATACGGCAGTATGACGGGTAACATAACGATGAGAAAATATTTAATTGTTTGGTAAAAGTTATTAATTGCAGTATATATTGCAGTAACATATCTCACACGTGCGTGTGTTTTCATGTGCAGACCCCATGTTGCAACAAGGTATACGCATGCCGGTTTTGCCACGATGAGCAAGAGGCCCACACAGTGAACAGGAAAGAAGTGACGGAATTGATATGTGTCCTCTGCGACACTCGTCAGCCCGTGCAGGCCACGTGTCAAAATTGCCATTGCCGATTCGGCAAGTACACGTGCCTAGAATGCAATCTCTTCGACGACGAGGACAAGAATCAGTATCATTGCGACGGTTGCGGTATATGCAGGGTCGGTGGTCGCGACAGATTCTTCCACTGCGCTAAGTGCAATATGTGTTTGCCAGTTCAACTGAGGAATGGACACACGGTAGGTGCAGTAGGCGCCGCATAGAAATGCGGAATGACGGAATCGGAAAGTTGCTGAAACCAAGCAGTTGTTAGATTTAGCTTCCAAATTGAAACTGCGTTATAGTTTACTTCATCAGAAAAAAAGTAAATTGATGATGATTCACAAAACGTTAAAGATGAACCTACAAGACCAGAAACGCGACTCCATCTTGGAAGTCAAACTTGCATTGCTTCACACCATGGAAACATCAAGTAACAATGATATATAATGCCGGTAATATTAACGTTTCAATTTTTCACTCGACAGTGCAAGTAAAATTCGGCAAAGTAAGTTTTACTTATATTTTGTAATTATTAAGTGCGACACATGTGTCATACAGAATAATTATACTGTTGAGAATGGGAAATTGTAATATTGTTACTGTTATTTGATGCTTCCTGGATAATCATTATTCTATAAAAAAACAAACAAAATGAATGAATTGATATTGTGTAAAAGAATCTCGTTATTTTTATCAGCATACCAAGATGGTCGCTTGTTGACCAAAACATCGACGTCTAATTATTTCTAGATGGGTAATTTCAGCAAACGTTAACCAACATCAATATTATATCAGTATTATAATATCTCAATTAATCATATGTCTCGTTATTTTATTGAGCTTACGTCGTTGTGTGAGAAATTAGAATGTTTGCGCGATATTACTTGGTGTTTACTCGGTTTGTTTACAACAATACACGAATGTTGCGCATTGACACGACTACAGTGAGACCATCGTGCACCTCCATTTCCTTTAAGAGAGGCGCGCTAACATATCCACGAACCAACACTTTCAAGAAAAAACACGTTCGTGCCCGACAGAGAATATCGGTCGCTAACGGTCACACATGGAAAGACATTAAAAGCGAACTCGGCCTGTTCCAGTGCATCGAGAACGTGTCGCACGCCAACTGTCCGGTGTGCCTGGAGGACATCCACACGAGCCGCATACCGTGCCACATTCCCGACTGCGGGCATTTACTTCACCGCACATGCTTCGAGGAGCTGCTGCACTCCGGCCACTACGCCTGCCCGACGTGTCAGGTGTCGCTGTTAGACATGACCGACCTGTGGAAGTTTCTGGACACGGAGGTGTCACTGACGCCGATGCCGGAGGAGTACCGCGACTACAAAGCCGATATCTTGTGCAAAGATTGCCACGAGGTCAGACCCGTTCAGATCCCATTAGAGGCGCCAAAGCGCCCGGAGAAACACCTCTTTGATGAGGAGACAGTAACAAGAACTTAACGGAGATTGTTACCCTTTCACTTGTCGTTTCAGGAATCCACGGTGAAGTTTCACGTGGTCGGCTTGAAGTGCTTAAATTGCGGCAGCTATAACACCTGCAGAGTGAAAGGCTCCCCTTCTCCAGGTGAGAGACGACGATGTGTTGCCGATTCTCGGATCCTTGTTGCATGAGTCGCGCGAGACGATTTTCCGTGAATTTCATCATGTCGTGTCCTGTTTTCCTCTTGCAGATCCGGACAACTCGAACGAAGCAGCAGGTGGCAGTAGCACGGGGGAGGAAGAACAATCCTCCAGTAAGTAAGGCCAAAAGTGTTATCCATGAGACAGATTGATCCATCGATCGATCAGTCAGTCGATTAATCGACTGAGAAGGGTAACGAGGGCGAAAGAAGATTACACGTACACATACAAGTTATAGACGACACCGAGAGAGTATTTGTACTTTAGACGAATATTACTCTTTATAATGTTTTTGTAGCGAAATTGCATTTCTATCGGTACGCTAAGGTACTCTCTGACGTGACCGAGTTTGGCCGAATGCGGCTTAGCACTTGAAAGAACAAAGATAAGATGAATTACCATTGTTCCCATTAGCAGTGGCGACGTCGTCGACATTAGTAATTAATTATTTTCTAGCGATTATTTGTGATACGCTGTAACACAACTCTCTAGGCATCCGAGTGGACGCGGATCGTTTCGTTAGCGCGAGTCTCATTGGCGAGAAGGAGAGAGAAAGAACGAAAGGAAAGGTGCGACAGAGAGGATGAGTCTCGTTGTTGTTCGTCGCGAGTCCATAGACGTATAATACTTAAACCGCGCGGTCTCAACGTCTCCTTTTGTTAGAACGCGTCAGAAGTTAGAAAGACAGTTGCTGTACGGATACCATCCTGCCTTTTTCGAAAGACTCGTGGCAGCGTGGAGAAGCGTTTGCTGAGGGACGAAAAAGGAAGGTAGAGGGGAGTGAAACGATACACATACATCTCCAACATTATCAGACGAAGACAGAATGGTACCTCAAAGCATTCTCTCTCTCTCTCTCTCTTTCTAATATTTGACGACTTTTCGGGCGAATGCCTGGTCTAGTTATTATATGTCTATGCGCGAGTCGCAGTCGAAGACGGTGGGTTAACGAAACGATCGGCATCTGCGGATAATTCGTAGCCGCTCCCTTCTCGCGTACGACGCGTTTGCGACGCTGCGATCGTCGAGGAGCACGCGATTGCTATTGTTAGTTGGTTTTCAACGTTTTTATCTTGTACCGGACACCCTGGACTCTCGTCGCGCGATTTTTTTAGCCACGTGTCCTGGAATGCGTTTGGAGTCGGGGGGTTCTCGATGGAAGTGCGATGTTCAACGAAGAGAGTCTGATATCTCTTCTCGTTTCTTCGTAGCCTTCCGCATTCGCGATGTTTGCCCTTCGCGAATTCGCCCTCAAATTCTGTGACAATTCACATATCTCGCGACATTCGTTAATTTTAGTATTCCGGCATTTGATGAATGCAATGAGTCTAATTGATGCAACAACATATTTACGGTAACATATTTATATCGAGTACATGTTATTTATATAATTATTAATGATTTGAAAAGTTGGACTGGAAAATAGTACGACGTTTAAACAGACTCAACACCGCGAAGGATTAAGCATCACGGTTAGATTATTGAAATTTTGAAAAGACTGACTGCATCTTCATAGGGACCTAAAATCGATTTAGCAACGCATGTAGCTTTTACGTTTTATATGAACAGCCCAGCCGAAACTACATAATAATTTCCGTTGTTGCAACTGCTGATGTTACATGTCGCATAAATTATGTTATGATTATATTATAATTTTACGCGACATGTAACATCAATAGCTACGATACCGAGAGCTATCAAATCGGTTTTACGCTGGTTTTATGTAAAAATAAACGACAACATACGTTGTTGATATTTGTTGTCGAATTGATTTTAGGCTACAGCGTGAACATAGCCCGAGAGCATACGTAATAATTGCAATTAACGAGGGAGTTTGTTGAGATCAATCAGTGAACAATTAGTGACTCCAAATCGCTCAGAGAGTCCGTGTGGACGAAGGTTCGCGCGGCGTGTCCTCGGAGATGCTTGCGTATGTATAATTTATGCATACACTTCTTCTGTGTCTTAGCTATATTTACTCCCGAAATAGCAACTGCGTCGGTGGTAGTTAATTACGTCTAAGAAAATTGTTAAAAGGAATCATGAAGAGGCAGAAATCGACCGAGCCCTCAGGATAAGAGATGAGCGCAGGTGAGCGGTGAGGTTACGAGAATATTACAGAACTTTTCCGATTACTGGAGGCACTCTAATCAACGGTGCCACCTTATTTTTCGATCTATTCTGCGTGTTGATGATAAACGTTGCAACGGCGCGTTCGCACCGTCGAGACGCGATTTTCCCACGCGCGAGTGCCATGTTGAGCAGACACGCATCGTCCTGGGAAACGAAACCCGGCAATATTCCGGTAATATTCGGCAACTAGGACGATTTCCCGAGAAGTCGTATTACCGAAGTACGAACGAGGTAATATCATGAAGTGTACGATTACTGGAGGGATCCGAGAAGAAATTACTATCCTGAAGACAGTAGGAAGACAACGGCAGGTTGTTCCAACTCCTCCTTGGTAAGTTAACTGATAGTTAAATCATATGTCTATCTTCGTTTAAATTGAAGGGAAAACAAAGATAAACGCATGATTTAACTATCAGTTAACTTACCAAGAAGTTGGAACAACCGACCTCAAGTGTGCCAATTGGCAGGTTCTTTTCGAGAGACAACTATACAGTCGAGGCGATTGCGGTATCGCAACTTTCCAGGAAATTGCTCCACTTTTCGCAAACTTCGATACGTTTTTCTCGAGACGATGCATACCCACCCCGGACCGTTGCCGTTTCTTCCACGGCACTCGCGGAAATCGCACGCGGGGATTGTCGCATCGAGGCGCGCGGGAACGTCGATGGGCCTAACTAACTGTACTTCGAACAACCACCTCTCACATCGCATCAATCTCGACATCGCGTAGCACACGTACACATACATACACAGACACGTACGAGCGAAGTTCGAAGCTCTGACAAATGAAAATTTCCGTTCCTGCGAATCACCTGCGGCACAACAGCTGTCTTGTTTTCAGATGCGAAGCGCGCACTCCGTCTTGTTTTCCAAAAGAGATCTCATTTTTAGCCTCCGCTCTCGCGTGAGAACCTTTCTTCTCGTCAAAATGTAGACAAGACTCTGTAAGATAAAACAATTTACTCACTCATTCACTCACCTTCTCATACACACACCGGGGTGGCACGTGCCGATGATGCGATAATGAAATATCAATAGCGAATAATTGGGGTTGGAAGAGGGGAAGGAGAAGAAAAGGTATCTTTTCCCGGCGGATAGTGAAGTATCATGCATGTGCACGACTTTTCACGTGTGCATGTGTGTGTATACAAAAAAATATATATGCGCACGCGCACACACACACACACACACATACATACATACATAGATACATACACCCAGACTCGCATTTTCTCCCCGAGAGGCATTATTCTTCTTCTTCTTCTGATACCGGTGAATATTCATCTATGTAATGTAAACTTGTAGCTAATCTGTTTTAATGTAATTCTGTGTAATGCAATTGTCTAGATGGAGTAACAGTCGCGACGGCTCGTCGTCGCGGCGTCGATCGTGAGTCTCGCTGTTCTTCTTGTCGCGATTTGATACGAAATCATTCCGTTATATACCGAATGAGACGGGATAGCCCACACACACACATATGTTATTGTGAACACACACATATATGCAGCTCTTTTTTTCTGTCTTGCACGACGCACGACACGACGATTCGACGACGGTATGACGGAGTCTGAAAGCGCGACGGTGATCGTGAGGTCACGAGTGGTGAAACGCGATTCAGAAGCGATCAACTTCGAAAGGGAAAGGGAGTAGAATCAGTGAGAGCCAAAGGCTGGTGTAAAAAAAAAAAAGAAGTACAAATAAACTACGAGTGATTGACATTCGATTGGAATCGAACGGCTTTGATCAAGTGTGAATAGTCGCATTCAGCAGAGAAAACTGCTTTACGACCATTGCAAAATTCGTGAACCTGATTTGTGTGTGCTTTTGATCTCGGCTGAGTCTACAAATACGCACCAATCGGATTCGTATTTTACAATCGCAAAGTGGCTTTCTCTACCGAACGCAGTGAAAAACTCGCAATCGATCTGTGTTATCTACGAATCGCTGCGAGACCGGCGCGTCTCCTCTCTTTTCGTGAAGTTGATTGTGTATCTCTGACGACCTTTTCGAATTTATTACATTTTAGACGTGTGAAATGTCTGCGAGATTTTCGAGGCGTGTGGAGCGCGATTCCGCAGCGAGAGACGCTGCGTATCGACTCGACGGAATCGACTTTACCATTCCACAGCATTCCAATAGGAGCGAGCAGCTCCTCGAATTCGTATCGAGCTTAACAAAGATGTGTCGCACTTTTTAACGACAGACTGCTGGCTGTAGTACGAGCGAGCAGATCTTAGACGACTGCTTTCGTTCGCAAAATTCCTTCGTACAAACGTCCGTTGCGAGAACCGAGCGCTTTTTTCCCTCAGAGACGGGCACAAGAGCGATCGCGCAGCGCTTTGTTACGACGCTTGATTGCGCAAGCAGCTATTCTTACACGCTGATATCGTCGAGCGAACCTTATTGATCGATGTTAGATGTTCGCCTGTCCCGACGAGTCGGGTATTACGTTGACGAGGAAAACGCGTCAGTCGCGCCGCAAAAGTTTCACGATTGCCGCGAATGACCAGCCAGTAGCTTCCTTTTCCTCTTCTGTAACTCTTCTTTATTCTTCTTTCTCCCGACACGAAACGATATACGTAGTTTCTGTTGTGATTACCATCACGATTTTATTATATTGTAAATTAAATACCAGTTACAAAGGCTCTTTGTACATAACGGCCGCAATAATGCTTTTGTTTTATATTACGTATAATATATACTATTGTATCAAATAAACCACCTCTCTCTCTCTCTCTCTCTCTCTCCCTATCTCCCTATCTCTCTCTCTCTCTCTCTCTCTCTCTCTCTCTCTCTCTCTCTCTATCTCTATCGCCCTCTCCTCTCAATTTCTCCTCAGACAGGAGGATGACAAGAAGCGGATGATGCAGACGCGGTGTCTCCCGGAAACTCGCATTCTCTTTCCTCTCCTCTTTCTCTTCCTCACGCTCAACTTTATTCGGCGCGTTTCCGATACGACACACCACGTCCGCATCCGACGGTGAATGAAACGAAACGAACGACGCAGATCGTTACTGTTCTTTTCTTCTTTCTCGGCACAGTGATCCTCCACTGCGTGATCTGATTATGAATAAGGGACAAAGTTCAACGCGGTTGACTACTTCTTATCATCCAGCACGCGGCCAAAAAATATTCGCTTTTTTTGTTCACGTCCCTCTCTTCTCCCCTCTCTCTCTCTCTCTCTTTTTCTTACATCTTGGTGAAAATAGCGCGATGGACACGCACGGAACATCGTGGCCATCGCGCATGTGCAAGGTTTTGTGTTATGTGTGAATGTGGGTGTGTGTATGTGTATTATGTTTGTGTCTATGTGTTCGGTTGCAAGGAGCAAGTGGATGATTGGATGGAGGGTGTGTGTGTACGCTATGTGGGTGGTTGGGTGTGAACACAGCGAATTCAACAGATTGCACTCGACGCGTCCGAAATTTCACAACGATATATTACAACGCATGTACATTATATATATATTGACTCCGCGTCGCCGCACATACGCCAAGAGTCGATCGATTGCTCTCTCTCTCTCTCTCTCTCTCTCTCTCTCTCTCTCTCTCTCTCTCTCTCTCTCTCTCTCTCTCCCCCCCCTCTCTCTCTCTCTCTCTCTTTCTCTCTCTCTTTCTCTCTCTCTCTCTCTCTCTCTCTCTCTCTCTCTCTCTCTCTCTCTCTCTCTCTCTCTCTCTCTCTCACTCGCACGCACGGCGCCGAGGAACTTCGTGCCTCTCGTCATTTCTTCCTTCCACTTTTTACTTTTATAATTAATTGATCCAACAGCGCGTCGAGGCCAACTCGTCGAATTCGTCGTCGTGTATAATTTATATTAATTCCTTCGTAGATTTATATAGCGCGCGAGAAAGACGACGTATCCAATGGCGGACGCGGTCGCGCGTTACATTCTCTCGAACGGGGGAGCATCCTTACATTTTCACCTACGACTAGTTTAGCGTTACTACTTTGTACGACGAAGCGCGACCGCGGCTGCAGCAAGCAGCGCGTCCGGATATTTTCTCGCGTTCTTTTTTTTTCTCCTCCTCCTCCTCCTCCTTCTCCTCCTCCTCCTCCTCCTCCTCTCTATCTCTCTCTCTCTCTCTGTCACTTTTCAAAAGTTCAACGAACGCGGGCGCAACGGAAGGAATCCATGGATGCTCAGGAAACGTCGAGCGGCGCGAGTCATGTCGAGTTGATCGCGTGTACGACCGCACGCCACCGTTGTCCACTGCGCCTCCAGTTGTAGCTACAAGCAAAACACAGTGGATCTTGAGTGACATTCGACAAGATCGGCGCATGCTCGTGATTTTAGCTTTTAGCACGTCTCAGGTAACTATCGGGTAACTATCGGGTTGTTCGGAAAGTAATTTCGGTTTCGTTTTTTTTTTTTCAAATTCAGATGGTATTAGTTGCCTTTTTAAGCATTTCATCTCATTCTAAAGCAGAAAATCATTTAATATTTTTATAACGCACATTTCAAGCTTCGTTTGAAAAAAAGTTGTTTTGGAATCTGTCAAGTTGTTTTTGTTTGGCGTCGCATCAGAAATGGAAAACCAACGTGAATATTTTCGTCACATTTTGCTTTTTTATTACCGTAAAGGCAAAAATGCAGCGGAAGAAGAAAATTGTATGGAGAGGACGTGTTGACTGAACACGCCAATGTCAAAATTGGTTTTCGAAATTTCGTTCTGGGAATTTCGACCTCAAAGATGCACCACGTTCTGGAAGGCTGGTGAGGCTGATGAAGACCAAATAAAGGCATTGGACACAAGTCGTCATTTAACAACACGAGAAACGCTGAGAGATTGAATCTATCGAATTCGACCGTGCATGAGCATTTGAAACAACTTGGTTTCGTTTCAAAGCTCGATATTTAGGTTTCACGCGTTCTCAAAGAAAAAAATTTGAGTCGTCGCATTACCATTTGCGATTTGCTGTTGAAACGTGAGAAAAACGATCCATTTCTGAAGCGACTCATAACTGGAGATGAAAAATGGATTGTGTACAAAAATGGAGTGTACAAAAATGGAGTGTACAACAATATCAAACCAAACGCAAAAGATCATGGAGCAGACGTGATGAACTCAAAACTACTAGCTCAAAACACATCGAAAGCTGATATCCATCGAATGAAGGTAATGCTCTCTGTTTGATGGGATTGGGGAGTTTTTTTTTTAACTGCTACCGAACGATTGATTCGAATGTGTATTGTCATCAATTGGACAAATTGAATGATTCCATCAAGCAGAATCGGCGAACAGAAAAGGTGTTGTGTTTCATCATGACAACGTCAGACCTCACACGACTTTAATGACTCGCCAGAAGCTGTTAGCGCTTAGATGGGATTTGCTATTACATCTACCATGTTCACCATCCGACTATCACTTGTTTTGGTTACTGCAAAACTCTTTGGATGATAAAAATTTCGATTCGAATGAAGGTGTAAAACATCGCTTAATTCAGTTTTTTTGCCAATAAGGATCAGAAGTTCTGCGAGCATGGAATCATATTATTACCTCAAAGGATGGCAAAAGATGTTAGAACAAAATGGTCAATACTTAACAGAATAAAACTTTTTTTTCTATTAAAAATATCGTCTTTCATGCAAAAGAACCGAAATTACTTTCCGAACAACCCAATACTTAGATTAATACTGATTATTTCTGAGTCTTCATTGCGAATGTCAGTCGAAGAAAAACAAGCGAGAGGTTTGGGGGTTTAGGTCTCCTGTTTCCGCGAAGCGACCATCTTGGTTCATGGCGACCGAGGGGAGAAAATGTACTTTGGAATTTCTCACGAGACACGTTAATAAAATAAATAGGTGAAATTAACGTTGAAATGAATAGACAAAATTAACGTGACGGTATCGCGAGGAAAGATGGATCGCCGCGTTAATTTTATGATCACTCATTAACTACGTTTATACGGCAAAGTTAATCCGGATTAGTAACAACCGTAGTTAGTGAATTCTTTGATTCGATTGGTATATTCTTTTAGATCTAAAAATATACTCTAATCGGATTCGAGACTGCACTAACTACAGTAGTTACTAAGTCGAAGTTAGAAGCCGTGTAAACGTAGTCATTATTCGTTAAAGCGAAAAGAAAGACTGTTGAGACTGTTTTGCAGATTAGCTCGATCTACCGTGTCATTTTATGTATATATCTTTTTGTTCGAAGATATTTTGCTCAAGAATTTTTAGCGCGTATTTTCTCGCTTCTGACGTCACCGACGTCAAGATGGCTGCGGCAAGGGACCAGGAGCTTCAAGGGTCTGATAATATTCATAGTTGAGGGATTGAAGTATTTTAAAACTCAAAGTCATTCACAGTCAGTCTTTTTATATTTAAGATAGTTGTCTCGTGAAACGATGTTATCGAATGAGTTGATCACACGATAGAAAGAGAGAGAATCGAATAATTCAAGTGAAATATACGACATATATCTTACTTTTTACATCAATATAATATTTTATCAATGAGAAATACAAAAGCAGATTCGGTCACATGTAAGAAATTCGTAACGAATTGATTCTCATTCGTTTACTAATGCAAATTTTTAATTGAGATTATTTCTATCACACACATACACATACAAGAATTATTTATTTGGATGTATTATAACAATATTATTACAAACTTTCACGTTCTTTCAGTATCTTTAAAATTTAACAATAATTCTGATTTATTCCAATAATGTTTATCCTTAATATTTCGAGATTTTTGCTCGAAATCACAACAAAATCCTAACAGTAACGGTTCAACGAAACAACTACCTTGAGATCGCCTCAAATTCACCCTAAGCTGCTACAAGAGCTGATTTATTCTGCTGTATAGCATGTTGAGATAAATTTCAGGCAATTTTAAGACGATCTTAAATATGTAAATACCTTAAATATAGATAATTTAAGACACATATTTAAGACAATCCCAAGTGTAAGCATCTTAAATATAAACAGAGGTTTGTGCATCTCAAATGTACATTTAAAACACACAAAAAGTGTGTAAGGCAGTTTTAAATATAAATACCTCAAATATAAATTCAAGACATATATTTAAGGCTGCCTTACACACGTATGACATGTACATGATCGGACTACGAATATCGCCCCAGATGACTTCTTCTTGTGCTTTCATCATCATCATCATAATCGTAATCATTCAAATCCTACTTCGCAAGAGCTTTACTCGACTCAACATCTCGTGGAAACAAAGCGTCTTTCTCGCTACTACACTCTCACGCGAAGAAAAAAAGAAAGATAAATGTCACAGCGAGAACTCACCTTGGCGCGTTTTACCGGCCTGAGAGGCAGAGGGCTGAGGATACAGGGACTGTCGAACGCGTCGAAAGTGATCGCCCTCTTAGCATTAGGCTTCCGTTGTACGGACGTAAAGTCGTGGGATGTCTGGAAAGGATAGACACACTAGCTACAGCCGGCGAAAAAAGAAACGTACTTAGAGAAAAAAAAAAAAAAAAAAAATATCAGCTAATAGAGTCATCAGTTTCGACGTGACATCTCGAAAATCTCGGAAAGACAATCTCTAATGGAGATCAGAGACGACAGAAGAAGGAGGTAAGAGGAGTGACTCGAGAATCTCGCAAGATGAGACCAATCGAGATTACCACGCCAAGAGAGGCGAGGAGAGAGAGGGAGGGAGGGAGAGGGGGAGGGTAGGGTAGAACAACATTCGTGGGTAGTAAACAAAAGGAGGAGGGAGGGAGACTCGTGTACTGCCGAGCTACCACGACAGCGCGCGCGTTCGTCATTCTTTTATTTAAATTCAACACGCATTCAACGGTAGTAACGGAGGGATGGGGTCAGGTTGGGGAAGGGGGCAAGAGGAGCGGCCGCACAATTCGTGGGATGACTAGGCCTTTAAACATTCTAATTAGCGCGCCGTGCGAAATTCAGGGCGGCGGTTAGGTGGTAGCCTTCCTTAACGTCATTTTTGTCTATCTTTTCGACCGGACGCAGCGTCCCGTTTAAATATCTTTGGATTCGTCATTGTTCAGGAGAAGGTTTCGTGAGGTGCTTTGGTACGCTAGACCGGGCCTATACAAGAAGGACATGGATTTGCAGTTAGTGCTTAGGCGTATTAACATGCGTCAACTCTCAACGTAATACGAAGGAAAAAAATTATACATATACAAAACAAAGAAATATAAATATAAATATTTGCAAGTATATGTATATAAATATATATATATATGTTTAATATTAATATAAATATAAATATATTAATAATAATACAATAATAAAACATTACACGCTCTTGTGCACAGGGCTGCTCTCTGAATCTAGAGCTTTGTAAAGACGAAGGGCCGAGCGCGAAAAGATGTCTCTTTCCTTTTTTTCTTTTCGTTTTTCTTTCTTTTTTCGTTTTTTTTTTTTTAACGTGTTCGAGACGACGAGAACAAGCGAGAATTTCTTGGCGCGTGCTCTCGCGAAGATTGCTTTATCTTTTCTTCTATTTTTTTCTTTCTTCGAACGTGTTAATTGCATTCGCACGTCTATTAACAGGCCATTAATAGGCGTTCGGCTCCTTCGTCGCTCATCATTAAAATGCAAATCCATTCGCGGCGGTATCAATAAAAAGAAGGGCGAAGCAAACAAAAACGAAACAAGATCGGTCGTACGCCGATTAGAATATATACACGACTAAAACATAATAATTCACTTTCACCGAATGTGAACCGAGGAATGTGTGCAAATAGTCTTAGACAATTTATGAAATTGACAAAAAAAGAAGACGAAAACTTGCTGTACAGCGTATCAAGGTATATAATACACGCGAAATAATTTATTTAAGTACATTTCTTCACTATACCGACATCTATTAAATTTAACGTACAACGTGTGTCTCCTAGCTCTTTTCTTCCTCTTCCCAAGATAATAAATTAATAAGATTTCTCCATCTCTTTTTTTTATGCAAAATAATAAAATCAGGAATATTAAAGTGCTACGTTTACGTATAAATAATTAACAGACGATATAGAGACGCGTCAATGCGGAAAGTAATAAGTTAATATAAATATTATATGTAATTCAGGCGAACTCTCTAATGCCGTAAATGTTAGTCGTGTTACTCCATACTTAAAATTAACATTACAAAAAGAAACGATAAATCTTTGGATTGGGCGATGTTATAGAGGCGACGACAAGGGACATGGAGAGACGCAACGAGAAAGAAGGAATATGGGAGAGAGGAGTGGGATCGGGTAAGGTAAGGAGATGTTACTCAGGAATATCATCTCCTGCGCGTTCCTTACACTTGCAATCTTCAACGACGTATAAATAAAAAAAAGCACAGAGGTACGAGATGGGGGGAGTGTACAAGCAAAAACTCGAACTTAAACGTACAAGAAAGAACAGTAAAAATAAAAAAGAGAAGGAAGAAACAGCGCGTTAGAGAGAGAGAGAGAGAGAGAGAGAGAGAGAGAGAGAGAGAGAGAGAGAGAGAGAGAGAGAGAGAGAGAGAGAGAGAGAGAGAGAGAGAGAGAGAGTTAAAAAGGCCGGCTAGCGTGTCTAATGGCGACTGGTACGGGAATAATACCAGGACAGGGCGGGTTGTTCGTGAAACTGATTTTGATTTTGGATATGTGGTTGCTCTACCTTTACGGGACTAGTTCCTGCCGTCAGGAAACTGTCTTCCAGAGCCATGGATGCGGGCGAGAACAGTACGGATGTGTCCAGACTTTTACTCTGCGAAAGAAATAAGGAGCATATTACTCGGTGCGTACGCACATTGTCATCAAGAATCAGCGCGAACGAACGAACGAACGAACGAACGAACGAACGAATGAGTATGCGACGACAAAACCCGCTGAGAGTGACAATCGTGTGCGACCTCGGCACAAGTTTCCATCCCGATTTAACTCTCTGCGCTATAACTTATAGTTAAATTGGAAATAGAAATTACAAAGAGAGAAACGTAGCGGGATTGAAAGTAAATTATAATTAAGGGTACTCTTCTATTTGGGGTTGAGATTTTTTTAAAAACTATAAATGGCCAATTTCTATATATTCGTATCATTTTTAGCTAATTTATTGTAATTGAACCGCTAAGTAGAAGTTTAAGCAGTTGGCTCGTTAAGCTATTAAAAATCTTTTGGCATTTTCGATGTTTATCTTTCATGTTGCAACAAGCCTACCAGTTAAATAAAAAAAGTATAAAATAAATAGGCTCACCGTCTATACAATCGAATAAACAAAACTATAGAGGCAAATTAGAGAGCTAGCGCTAAAGTCGTCCGAGCGAATATTTAATACAAAGAAAGAAAAACTGCGCTCCTTACATTCAAACATTCATTATGCGAAAATTAGGCACAATGCAGTTTTCGTAGTTTGCACCACTTTTATATTTGGCTGTATAAATTTGCAAACGCTTTTGCAGAGTGGAAGTGCCGATGAATTAAGAGATATAACTCCATCCGAGACAAACGAAATTTTCAACTTGTATTAAACAACTGCGTTCAGCAGAACTGCTTTGCACTGTTACGAAATTCGTTAATCTGATCGATCTGATCTGATCGGATCTGATCGAAGCTCTTAAGTATGGTTGGATCCAGAAACGTTCGTCAATCAGATCCACCAATCTGACAAGAGTTGCAGGTTCCTCTGCTGATCGCAAACATCCGCTCGAACACTACAGCGCTGGCTCTTACTTTGCCTCCACCTTGCCTCTAACTCGATCGTCGATTCGCTCGATCAAAATTTAGCACAAGTCACCCTCAGATTCGTGCCCTCGCACGACCGACTGTCGCTCTCGACTATCGCGCTTCGTCGAGCCGACTCGGTTTAACACATGTGACGTACCGGTGTCTCCACCACATAACTCACGTCGGAGTTATCCTGGCTAGAATTAGCCCAAGCCTGGGACAACGCCTTGCGCGCCCGTTTCCCACCAGGCGCACTGTTCTCCTTGCCGCGTCTTCGTATCGTCCCGTAGCCCGAATCCTGAAGGATCGCGCTGGTTCCGGCCAAACTTTCGCGATCGGTCTCCTGCTTGATTATCTCGGTCAAGGCGTCCAAGCGGCTCGGAGTAGCGGGCAGGTGCGTGCTCGTGCCGCTTCGTAGCTCGAACTCTGCCATGGCTTTCTTGAACGGCGTCGGCGTCCGTGGTGTGTTACTGTCTGCGAAAGTAACGGAAGCGTTCAGCAGCGGAGAGCGAGCGAATTTACGTAACGCGGTCTTGGCGGGAGTCTTTCGAAGAGACGAGCGCATCAAAGCTCTTGGCTCCTCTTTTATTTATCTTATATAGTCAAGATTCCCTGGCAGTACCTGGGTTCCACTCTTGCACATTATTTTATCAGACATTAAAATATATGGAGACTTCTAATCGTTCGTTAATTACCAATCATCGATTATTTATTTATTTATTTTTAATCCCCACACACGGCCACCGGACGGCAGTTCTCTCGAGCGCGTATTTTCTCCCTGCTGTCACGTCACGTTCTGAGACGGTTGCGGACGAGGAACCAAGAAAGCCTTGACATGTTACCCCCCACTCCTCCTCTCCCTAACTCCGAGCGACGTACCATTCTGATTGCGTCGAAGACCGGTGGGCTGCGGGGTCGTGAGCGGACCAGGACTGCTTCCTTTGGGAGTGCTAGCGCGCGGCCACGACGTTTCCGGGCTCAGACTGTTCAAGAATTGCGAAGGACTGAACGGCAGTTGCTTGATGGGGGTTGAAGGGCTGCTGTTTCCAGGCTGCGAGTGTTGGTTCACGACGATGTAATCCGACTGGGTACCACTGTCGGGAGTCTCGGTTCTGTGCACGAGACTGTGTATGTTCCTGCGTCTGCGTAATATCGGGGGCGGGCTGCTCCTCTCTTTCTCCATGTGCTCGGACATCTCCTCCAGGTCCGGCATAGGCATCAATCTTATCTCCGAGTTCTTCGAGTCGGACGTTCCGCATTGCATGTGGAGATTGTAGTATCTTCGCGGAAACAAAGAATATTTAGAGGTCGTTCGTATTTTTCGGACGACGATGGCGGACGCAATTGTCACTTCTGTCGTTTGTTTATTACATATAGAATACATGGGGTGGGCGGCGAAAATCGCAAAGGGTCTTCTTCAGAATTTTCACAACTCGGCGAGGAGAGTCGGGGTAACGCGAGTCGTTACTTCGTAGCGATAGTAATAAGTTATTCTTCAAAATTGTAAATTCAGTAAAACTGAATCAAGTAACAAAATTTAATTCAACTAATTCAACAGAACTTAATAATTAAAAAAAATAACTTATTGTTATCGCGGGGTCTGAAAATCTTTTCCACTTTCCTATTAATTCCATAAAATTTAATAATCTGAAAAAATAGCTTATTGCCACTGTTACTTACGAAATAACGAGTTCTGGCGTTGTTCGTTCACTGCGAGTTACCGTTTAATTAATTAATTGATAATACTAATTTTCCAAAATGAGTCACGATAATGATAACAAGTCACTTTCTTCACTGGGGAACGAACGAAGTTACGAAAAGAAGATGACCTGCCAAACTCCAACCCTGAAGACAACTTACTTAGTGAACGGCGAGACTGTGTCGTCCTTGGTCGTCACTCGGTAGGATTCCTTCTTCGACGGGGACTGCGCGCGCTTCTCGTTGCCGTGCGTGCGTCTGTTCACGTGGAGCTCGTACCCCGAGTTCTGTTGTTGCTCCCAAGTCCAATCCAGTTGACACATACCGATAGTCTGCGAGGCACCGCCTGTCGTCATCGTGGAGTTGCCGCTGGTCGAAGCAACTTTCAATCGACTCTGGCTACAACTGTCGTCCTCCAAGACTAACGCGGTCGTCACCATCGCCGTGCCTTCCGTGCTTTTCCGTTTACCTCTACCTGCAAGTTCCAACTCGTAACTTCCTTCGTTCTCTCTATCTCGAAGCGTCATGTCACGAAAGGTTGAAAGAAGTCGTACCTTTCATCAGACTCCTTCCTTCTTCACCTTCGTACTTCCTCCTCATCGTGCTGTTCCAATGATTTTTAATCGCATTGTCGGTCCTGCCTGGTAATAACTTTGCGATTTTAGCCCATTGGTTGCCGACTTTGCGGTGAGCCTCGACGATTATCCTATCTTCAACCTCCGTCCACGCGGTTTTCTTGATTCCCGGGTTCAGATGATTGTGCCATCGCTCCCGACACTGCTTGCCGATCCGACCCTTGAGGTGTCGCGCAATCAACGTCCATTTCTTCGGACCGTACTTCTCCACTAGCTCGATCACTTTTTCATCCTCCTGTAACACGTGGAAGAAGCCTTTGAAACCAGGTATTTTACGTTCTACGTTTCAACTACTTTACGACGGAACTTTTCAGACCGGGTTATGTGATTTTCAACTGAATTCACCCGCATTACCCCTTATCTTCCCGCTCTTTCCGATTGTACGAGAACGAGTCGCTAATTAAGCAATTTTTTTCTTCTTCTTCTTCTTCTTAATGTCTATGGACGAGAATTCCAATAATTGCAATATAATTATCAATGAATTGTACCTCGAAATTCAATTCAAACTATCGTGGCTCGTTTCGCAGCTCGTTTTCATGGACAATAAGCTTCGATAAAGACATCCTTGACATCTGCCAGATCTAAAGTCATTAGTTCTTCTAATCGCTCATGTCGTCTCGTGTCATACGTATAACTATTAATATTGCTTAGCTAATCTATCATTTTGACATATTGACGTATCGTATTGTATCAAGATACGACAACAATGATTAGAAAGACTAATGACGTTTTCCTTCACCCAGTAAATGTTAAGACTCTATCAAAGTGAACGTCTACGTACAGACGGCCGATTAAAGATTTCAACAATTTTCCTCGATGAATTTCGCAAAGCATTCCATATCCAATAAGCCAATATATCTCTTGATAATTGCTAAAAGACACGAATAGAGGATTTGTCACGTAACCCATTGAGCAAAGTGAGCTCAACGGCAACTCTCTCGCGCAATCAATGGGAGAAAAGTTGCAACACTACCTCGACGAACCCCAGAACGCACCCAGCTCATTCAATAGACAAGCTTATCTTCTGAGATTGACTTTCTTCAAACTTGGGTTAGATCTAACTGGGCCGGTTAACTGTGACGTGGTGACGGAGTCACCAACTAAAATTGTCGCCGAGGAACAAAGGAAAGAGATAAGAAGTGAGAAATTTCAGCCGCTAACTTCGTCAGTATCGATCGGTCAGATCTAACCGGACTTTGAAGAAGATCATCCCGATGATTACCGAGAGCAATGAATTCTGCCATTGAGTACCGATTGTAAAACTCACTGGAAATCATCGCAGCCTTCTTCCCGCCGCCTGTACACCCTGCACAGAGTCTCAAGCCATAAATAGCAAGTCTCGTTGAAAAGAAGGAACGACATTAGAGCGAGGACGAGTGCTAGAGGCTCTCGGCGGAGGGAAAGGCCATAACCGCACGTACGCGCACTCGATTCTCCGAGAGCCGCGTTACTTGCCCTTGGCTGTTGCCAAGTGCATTGGCACGGCGCGTCGGCGACGCAGCATCACCGCGGCCCTCCAAGAGCTTTTTCTTATTGCATACCCCACCGAGGTAGCGGCTGCGAGAAAGCGAGCGAGCGAGCGAGCGAGCGAGCGAGCGAACGAACGAACGAACGAACAAACGAACGAACGAACGAACGAACGAGCGAACGAACGAACGAACGAACGAACGAACGAACGAACGAACGAACGAACGAACGAACGAACGAACGAACGAACGAACGAACGAACGAACGAACGAACGAACGAACGAGCGAGCGAACGAGCGAGCGAGCGAGCGAACGAACGAACGAACGAACGAACGAACAAGCGAGCGAACGAGCGAACGAGCGAGCGAGCGAGCGAGTGCTCCAGGTCGGCACGGGTAAGTGTGTGCGTGCGTACGTGCGTGCGTGCAGTTCGCCGTCATCGTGTAGGCGGTATGTACAGTGCCGTAGCGGCGATAACACACCGCCCAGCGCGGTGATAAATTTGTCCGGCGTCTCGGCCGAGATGCCAATGCGAGGCGCGCAATCGCATTTCGCGGCGAGTTAATACGACGACGCTCGATTGTCCCGTGATAACAACGCATAACGCGATGCTCTTCGAGGTCGGGTCCTTTCGCCGAGGTGTAAGGTGAACGTCCCGATTAGTGGCGACGTCTGTCCCAGTCTGTGGCAATCGCATCCGTTTTGCTTGAATCGGCTAACACGAGTTGATATTCTATAAACGCGTGTTCTCTTGCTCTAAATTTTATACGTACTTAATTCAATTTTGTATACGTAATTTTAGAATTTTCTACACTATCGGTTGCAACAAGCTAACGAGTAAAATCCCAAGTCACAGTAAATGAGCATTTGTTAGATCCGTGCAGTTGTTCTTTAACTCTTTTGCAAACTGGGATGTGGGGAAGAAACTAAATTAAACTGTTATGTCAATAAATGGTCACTTTAGTCAATTCTAAAAAAATACGAATAATTTAAAATCTTTCCACAAATTAGAAAAAATATTACACGATTAAACCCCGAACTTTCCAACAAAGTTAACTTTGTGTGTGTGTGTGTGTGTACTTTAGCTTGACACTTGATATTATTAAGTTATTAATACACAACAAGGTCACTGACTGGGACATTTACCTTACAAGGTCAGTCAAAAAGTTCGATTCCAACGTCCGCTCTGATGGTCAACCGGATACCTTTCGCGATGGAGACGAACGAAAGTCATTAGAACGCTGAAAGGTCATCTCATGATGACAGCGATAACTTGGCTGAAGAACCACTTATTTCCATTGCATATAATCGAGTCAGATCGGATTGCAAAATCGAACAAGACTTTTTGACTGAGCCGAATTTTTTGACTAGTCGTTTATCAACGAACAATTCTGATTCCAATTTGGTATCTGAGGGTTTCACAGTTTGGAGAAATTCGGCCAGATTTGTTCTTGTGATTTAAGTTTCTATTTTTTTTTTTGTGAACTTTTCTACAACACGTTTTGTGATCATTTCAGTTCTCTCTTCATTCGATTCTAGAAGCGATATTTTCTCATAGTCGGATCTCATATTTAGGATGGTAGTAAGTTCGTCTTCAAGTACCTCATAGCCAACAAAATGAGTCTGAGACAATCTTAAATATAAGATCCTGCTGCAAACACCGTTCTAGATATTACTAAACAAAGTTAGCATCGCATTAGACTCATCGCTGAATCTCTCCTTGAAGACCGACTTGAGACTATCAGGGAGTAACGACGATCAGCTCGGACAAGACGTGCGTGTTCGTTCACATGCGAGGATCGACGTTAGCAAAGGGCCGCCCACCTCCTTCGTCCAAGGGCCCTTGACCAACTCCGGGTTCACGACCTTCGCCCATCTCTGTTGGCACTGCACATCGCTGCGGTCTGGAAAGTGACCAGCTATCGCGTCCCACCGCAGCCCAGTGCCCTGCTGGTCCGCGCTGCTCACTAGTTGTTTCAACAGAGCGTCCTGCAATCAAGCGACCAACAGTGAAACAGTGAAACAATGAAAGTACACACACACACACACTCTCTCTCTCTCTCTCTCTCTCTCTCTCTCTCTCTCTCTCTCTCCCCGCCTCCCTCTCCTTCACCGCCACCGCCACTTTCCGCTCATGGTGTTCTCTGCACATTCGTTCGCACACGTGCGCCTCGAGTGCACCAGACAACAACAACAACAACGAGCCGAGGTGAGACGAAGCGCGGTATGGCAAGGTGGGGTGAGACGAGGCGAGGCGAGGCGAGGCGAGGCGAGGGACGAGCGCGTATAGGAGATCGATCGCCCCTCGCCGGCTTTCCCACGTGAAGCCCCGCGCGGTGCACCCTATGTTCTATGGGACCACAGGCGTAGGGTAACCCACCAACAAGGCATCTGTCCGCGGGCACCGACGGCGCGCAACTCGTTGCAGAAAATACGAAGGGTGGACATTTTTCTTTTTTTTTTCTTTCCACCTCGACATCCGCGCGCGTTCTCATTGTTCCCTTTGCCCTCTCCCCCTCCGCCTCCTCCCCTCGCCCATGTCCCATTCCTCTCGAGCAACTTGCTACGTGGAAGCGATATGGTGTAGCGAAAAGCGACGCGCTTGCGTCATACACGCCGAACGAAAACCGTCTGCCGCGATTAGACCAATTTAGACCGGAGAGACTCGCCGGCGGGAAGCTCGCGAGGAGCAGCGGACTGCGCTCGGGTCGGCCTGCCTGCGGTCGGCGAGGAACTCGAATCTATGCCGGGTTTTATCGGGGACTAGAACGAAAGAGTCGCGTAACTTTGAGCACACCGAATGACGGCCGGTGTTGGGTGTTGATGGAAATTAAGCGATCGTTGTATGACGAATAATCCGATCGATCGATCGAGTTAATTGTTGATCAGCGCACAATCGATCGAATCGAAGTGATCGATTGAAACAATTAATGTATGCAATCACGATTCACTCAATGTCACTTGCGCCAATAGAAAGACCTTAAGCAGGCGAGAGAAGAATGATTTTAAAAACGTGTACGAAACGTGTAATCGTTTGTCATTTAAAACATTAATCTTTACACGTAATCACGATGTACTCGATGTCAATTTTTCATCATTTTGGTTAATCGACATTTTTTAACCAATTAACTTCTTGACGACGGTCGACGGTGATCGGTGATTATATTGCGCTATCGTGTCCCATTAAATTACGTACGTATAATTAATTCAAAAATTACTTGAGAAATCGGAAAGAATCTTGCAGTAAAAGTCACTATATGTGAAAATTTTGTAGCCGACGAAAATTTATCATCCTTCTGTGCTATTTATGTTTTAGAGAAGGGAGAGGGAAGCTTTAGGAATCTATTGTTAAAAAATTTACTATATATGTTCTTCAGTCAAATAAACGTTACTGGCGTTCTACATCCGCATTACTAAAAACAATCGTAAAATAGAAAAAATATATATATGAAAAAAAAAACTATATTTTTCATAGTGGCCAACAGGAAAAGTGAACGAGACGAAAGACACGCGCGCGTCCTGAAGTACATTCATTTACTTTGATCTTGAATAAATTCAATCGTCGGTTAAGCTTCTGTACAAGCGACGGAAATCGACGCGAGTGTCTACGTGATAATGAGATTACGAGATTAATCCTACCGACGAGTCGGTATTTTGATTAATCGACGTATTCCACGACGAACGCCGTTGCATCGCGTTTCCGCAAACGGCAGCGGCCGTTTACCTCTTACCTCTTCTTTGGTCCATCTTCCTTTGTTTATATGTTTCCCCTGGCTGTGGCTCGATCCGTTAGCGGATGCTTGATTTTGCGCCTGACTTTGTACTTGGCTGATTCGACAGATCGGCGTGTTGTACTCGGTGTCGGAATCTCCGCCGCTACTAGAATCGTAACCCGATCGAGAACTGAAACACACAAATCGGCCGGTGAGTCTCGCGCGTTTCCTGCATCAAAATAAAAAGAAATCTACGAGTAAAGGCACTTTAATTAGACACGTTGCCGAGCATCGCGAGCTATGAGAAGGGTATATTAATTAGATTACAGATGTTATACAAGTTTGCCTCTTTATTGTCGTTACTCTACGACTTAAGCAAACGATACCAGACTTAACCAGAATAATATTTATGAGATTACTAACTGCGACTATTTTCTTCACCTGTTTCGAACCAAAGTTTCAAGCAAACACATTTCTGTATTTCTTGCCCGTACTATCTCCACTCTCGCTTTCTCTCTTTTCGCTTCTTTTCCTCTCTACGGGTCTTTCTTTTTTTACCTCGCGAAAAAAGAACTTAATATTTAGCTGGAATATTTCCGATATCCGCAAGAGAAGTGACGAAAACGAAAGGAATGACGATTTGTAAAGTGATTTTCCCATAGTTTCATATTCTTTTACTGGAAAAGGATTCCTCTTTCGATAAAGTGATTAAAGTTAACCATTCATTTAAAATTTATTAGATATTATTCTGTCTTCCTCTTATTTCAAGAGGATTTCCTCTTATATCAATTAATTTTCCTCTTGTATGAAGAGGAATATGTTGATCTGAATGTCGGCTTCTTTTGTTTTCCGTCATACTCTACCTCCAGACATGAACGAGAAAATAACCATATGGGTCGGAATATTTGGAACGCTTTTTAAAAAAAAGCATGTGTGCTGCTGTAACATATAACGAAGATAAAAAATTTACCCATATTTGATCAAATACAGTTTATAATCTATTGCAAGAAGTTGAATAACATATTCTGCCTTTTAAGCATGTTTCATACAATTGATTATGATGAACATTTTAGTAGTCGTGAAGTCCATAACAAAACTGATTGGAAATTTATTTGTTATAATGATCTTATTTCACTCGTGCCTACTTATTGTAGAACTGAAGCCAAACGTACATCTATATACATTATACTTTCCGCTATACATTATAATAATTTTTCAAATTAACCAGTACAACCGGTAAGAATAAAGTAGAATATATAACGATAAGAATATATAACAATTCTCTTAAAAAAAGATTAAATAATCTGCGTATAAGAGAAAATTTATATCAAAATCAATAAGACTTGCATTATACATATAACATATAATCCCTCTAACTTTAAGAATAATGTGCTTATAATATTTTTCCCCTTAATTTTAGAAGAATTCTCTTAAAGCCATATGTAAGAACAAAAACCTCTAAAATTTAGATGGTTCCGCTTGTTCTGAAATTGTTCCGAGACTTGTTTTGAGTGTACTAATGATATGTAAACTAATAATATAAATATTTTATTACTATTATATTTTCTTTAGAAATAAGAAAATAAATAGAAAATAAAAAAGAAATAAATAATAAAATAAATAGAAAGAAAAAGGAAATAAAAAGAGGAGAAATAAGAAAATAGCACAGTCCGTCCGATCCGCGAGACACAATCCCGTCCGGCTACAGATTGTACACACAGGGGAGAGAAAGGAAAACAGAAAAGTCCCCGTCACGCTCTGTAAACTCTGCCGTACGCGCGCTGCTAACAGCACACACGGCGTCGTGAGGAAGCGAGCGTTTTCGCGCGCGACGCAACGTCCGCCGCCTATATGCAGACTGCGTTCCGACATTTACTGTCAGTTACTGAAAATCTATAATATACGTGACACAAACTATTATATATATTTTCAGTACTGGCAGCGAATATCGGGACTCAGCCACAGTCGTCCGCGCGAATCGCAGGAACGCGCGACCCGAGATACGGAAGAGCGTTTTAACGTACGCCCGTTACATTTCTTGCACACGCATATCTATTTCATTCGCCGGCGAGTAACGGCAAGAAACGGGAAATCACGGCTGGCTGAGCATCCTTCCTGCCCCGCGGACGCGGTCATCGCAGTCTTCCCTTTTTCTTCGTCGCGCAATTCTCGTCGTAGCCACCCCCGTCTAATTTCAACGACCCGGGAAGCGATCTTGACCGCGAATCGACGAACGACCCCTCCTCCTGCGGTCACGAGCCGCACGATGATCTTCCGTCGTTTTCGGGATTTCCTGCCGTGTCCTCGCGCACGGGTAATTAAGGTGCTTCCGTGTCGTCCGTAACGTCCGGCCACGTCTGCGATTAGTATCAGACTAGTTTGCATCCGCTACCGGTGGCAATTTTTGCGTAACTTGATTGGAAACACACACGAAATCACGGGACGGTGCGATATTGGAAAATCTTCAAGCCGCGACTTAAACAAGTTGTTAGTTCTGGCCGCAACCACCACTCCTGATTAGTCTCAGACACTCTCACATCCGTATGAATTAGTAAATGTTGCGTAATTTAGTTATAAACGTGCGAGATGGTGGGCAAAATTACGAGGAAGCCGGAAGGCCCCATTCCCGACGTAGAAAATCGCAAAATCACGAAATCACAGAATCGCGAGACAGCGGAATTACGAGACCGCGAGTCTCAAGAACGAACGAACAGCGAGATCGCGAAGCCGCAGAATCGCCGGATCGCAGAACCAGCGAACTACAGGGAAGTGTTAAAAATCGGGAAATCGCGACGACAAGAGGGCGGGGAAGAAGAAGAGGGTGGGCGGACGACGATATCCGTCAAAGGGTTCACCGCCACGGTCGAGTTCTCTGAGGACGCCCGACCTCATTATACACCGCGACCGCGTGCAATCTTCGCTTCCTTGACCGTAGCCGCGCGTCTCATTGCGGGTAACCGATAATTAATTACTCCCATATCAGAGAGAGACCCGGCTACACCGGCGAGACTTGAGTCTGCGCGCTGTCTGGCTGTCTCCGGCCAACAATACGCCCATGCGAGAACAGAAGGCAATGCCGAATGCTCCTTTATGTACCGTGCAATCTAGCTCACCCTCGCTTTTCCCCCTTTCTTTCGCCCCCCAACAGCTGCGTGTGCCAGGGTGGAAGAGAGACGGAAACAGAGGAGAGAGAGAGAGAGAGAGAGAGAGAGAGAGAGAGAGAGGGAGGGAGAGAGAGAGAGAGAGAGGGAGAGAGAGAGAGAGAGAGAGAGAGAGGGAGGGAGAGAGAGAGAGAGAGAGAGAGAGAGAGAGAGAGAGAGAGAGAGAGAGAGAGAGAGAGAGAGAGAGAGAGAGAGAGAGAGAGAGAGAGAGAGAGAAGCCAGGGTGAGCGACTCAGGATATAGTCGGCTTGTCGGCAACGATAGCATTCGCGGAGCACCACCGGTGTATGCGCGTCGTCGTAAACATATGTGTACCGCAGATGGCCCCGAAGCCTACCACTCTCCTCTCTCTATTGCCTGATCCACCCTGGCCTATCGATCGAGATATTTCCGCCGCTAATGAGCGCCTCGCATTCCGCGCGGAAGTGTCGCAGGAACGAATCCAGGCACCGCTATCGACTTGAAAAAGAGCTCGCAGCCACAAGAAAATATTCTAAATATTTGTAGTGGTTTTTCCCATAGTCTCATATTCTAAGCGAGGCCTTTTACGGGAAAAGGATTCCTCTTTCGATAAAGCGATTAAAGTGGAGCATTCATCTAAAAGCCATTCATCATGATTAGATATTATTCTGTTTTCCTCTTATTTCAAGAGGATTTTCCTCTTATATCAATTAATTTTTCCTCTTGTATGAAGAGAAATATGTTGATTTGAACGTCGGCTTCTTTTGTTCTGTCATGCTCTACCTCCAGATATGAATGAAAAAATAATCATATGCTCATGGGTCGGAATATTTGGAACGTTTTTTTTAAAAAAGGTATGTATAATGCTGCAACATATTACGAAGATAATTTATCTATATTTGGTATACAGTTTATAATCTATCGCAAGAAGTTGAATAATATGTTCTTTCTTTTAACCATGTTTCATACAATTGATCATGATGAACATCTCAGTAGCTATAAAGTCCATAACAAAACTGACTGGAAATTTATTTGTTATGATAATCTTATTTCGTTCGTGTCTACTTATTGTAGAACTGGCTAGCTAAAAGTACATCTATACATGTACTACTTTTCACTATATATTATATTAATTTTTTCAAATTAAGCGATATAACTAGTAAGAATAAAATACGGTAAAAATAAATAATAATCTTTTCAAATAAGATTAAATAATCTGTGTATACGAGGAAATTTATATTAAAATCAGTAAGATTTGCATCATACATCTAACATACAATCCCTCTAACTTCAAAAATAATATGTTTATAATATTTTCCTCTTAATCTTAGAGAAATCCTCTTGAGGCCATGTATAAGAATAAAATCCTCTAAAATTTAGATGCTTATTCTAAAATTACTTCTTTTGGGTGCGAGATCCGAATATTTTTTATTGAAGGTTTCCTCGACTGAGTCCCCGTCTCACTAGAGGAAACCTCCAATAAAAGTCGATCTGAAAAGATCGACATAGCAAAAGAGCGATTATTATCGAAAGCACGAGAATTAACATTAAAATAAAATGACCAAATTAATCGAGCGATTTTATTCAATTTTGACTGACAAGCGGAGACTATTAATTTCCTCCGATCGAACTTCTTCGTTTCTTAGTGCCAGTTCTCTTCTTTAACATTACTTTGCTTATTAATTCTCGTTGTTATTAATCTACTCCATCTTGATCGCGCTTATTCGTTTTCCTTACGTAACATTTAAACGCGAGTCAGCTGTCGTCGTCCGCGGCGCGGCGCGTCGACCCACGTCGTCTCTTTAAAGCTCGCGGGACACTTCGATAACGCGCTCGACATCATTTCCCGCGCACGCTTTCACGATTTTTATATCGCCATATAGGTGCAGAGAAGTAAGCCGAGAGCGAAAGTGAGGCGCTATCTCGCGTTCATGCTCCAAGTATTATTATTACACGCGATACACACAGCGCGGCAACTCCAACGCGTGATTTATCTCTGGCGCCACACACGCACGCACAACACACGGTGTCGTTGTTGCTACGCACATTGCGAGCAACACAGAATGAA